GGAAGCCATGTTTCATAGATTTCCACTACAATTTTTCTGTCATGGTGTCCGCCACTAAAATGTTAATATCTCCGCTTAGAATCGACTTACAGGCTTAAATGAGGTAGTATTGGATTTGTAATTTTAATCTTTATCTAGCTGTTATAGTTTTGTAAGTAAAAATCCAAAAAATAAAACTTCACTACCATACCTAATTTGCATGTATACTGTTGGTTCCTTGCTTCTCAGGCGGATGCACTCCGACGGAAGCCTCCAATTAGTTGACTCTCACGACATTCAGGTTGGGGAGCAGTGGGTCTGTTCTTGTTTCCCTCATAATGAGGCTCCTGAGGCTTCAATAGGATGAAGATCGGTGCTTTATTAATATCTTACCCCAAACAGGGGAAATCCACAGGTCACGGGACAGTCTAATATTTCACGAGGTGGTAGATAGGCTGCATGCAGTCGTGGTACCTAGGCTGCATGCATTCGTGGGACCTAGGCTGCACTCCCTCGTGGGAGAGAGTTCTATATGTTTGAGGTCGTTAAAAGCATAAGAAAACTGGGAAACCCAATCTTACCACCCTCTAAAATGTTGGATTGTTATGTGACGTCATCTGGGGTGAGATATTAATAAAGAACCTGAAGATCTTATGATTTCTGTCCGACATTGTATCGGTCTAGAAACAAACGACAGACAAAATATTGCTAACTCTATTTGTTGTTTTTCCCTTCAACTGGCACCCTTTCGTCTTTCCAGATAGGAATGTAATGTTGCTATATAAAGAGACATAGAAGTCATAGCTAATTAAGGTCAGGAATGCAGTTCTTTATCTCAACAATAAGAAGAAGAAGAAACTTCACAGGGAAGCATTTACAGCAGAAGTCTACCAATCATGAGTAGAAGTGATCCCTCGTCCGCATTTGTTTTGGCCCACGAGCTCCTAGACCATCTCAGATTGTGGGCCCACCTGAGTTCACGAAGCTCAGGCTTGATCTGCTCCTGCTGCACGTATTACCGGATGTTCTCGGACAGGGACAAGAAGAAATTGGTGACTATGCAACAGGTACTGTGAGATTTGAAGTTTATTTACATAGTCGCTGCGGTAGTATAAAAGAGCAGTCAGCATAACTGGACGACCAAGTGGCAAGCTTACGGTTGGTTTATCGGACACATGAAAGACTTTGTAAGCAGAGGAACACTGGCAGACAATTTGGACACGATGGACTTTTAGGAATAAGACTTCTTTTCTACTAGATACCTGGACCAGCCTACCAAGGGCCGTCAGAATAAAGCCTGGGCCGGATTGTAGAGACTATGTATTGCCCATGTAATATGATCACTTATTCGACTTGTCTTGTTTATCCCAGAGGAAAGGTAATACAGATACGTTTGGAACAAATCATGCTACTGAAGTCTCCAAATCAGTTCTATCTGTCGGAGCTTTCCTCCTAGACCATCTGCCAACAAAAGCTAAGGGCCTGTTCTAGCCTGCCATAACATTAACATAACATTAAATTTTCAGGGGGTATTTCCTATTCCTAGCAGGGCCGGATTTATACTTGACAAGCCCTAAGATACATCCACACCATCACCTTTGTGGGATGCATTTTTTCGGTATTTCGAAGCCCCACCCTTGCTTTTGCTGGGGGCCGCAATATAACCTGACAGTTAAACGCGGTTTTAGGGACCTCTCCACAGGTGATCCTCATCCGCATGGTAGCACTTCGTGTCACCGGGTGTTTATCGCTCTTTGTGATGTCCAGGTGGGGTAAAATTTATTTACTTACTACTGTTTTAAATTTCTCTAAATTGTCTCAGAAAGCTTTAAGGTATATACGCCTTTTAAATATATGGATAATGGAAATATATTGTCGTTTAATTTTTATTGAAAGATATAATAGAGAATGTGTTTGTAAAATTACAAAAATTATAACTTTTAATCCTCTAAAAGGTCCTAAGATACAGCTTAAAACAGTTTAAATAAGTTTTAAAAAAATTTGCATTTAAAATATAGTGCAAAGAAATTTGTGTTTGTGAAAAAAAAGAAGAATTTCCAGGTCTCCGTAGACTGTGAGACCCCAGGTAGTATCATTTGTAGCTTGCACTCAAATCCTGCACTGATACCCAGGATAAGGCTAGTATGCCCCCCCCCCCCCCGGCCAAATGCACTTCTCCGCCCTGTAGTGTTTCAGCCTCTAAACACTGAAGCCTCATTCTGATGAAATTCTGCAGTTTCAGTGATAGCCAGCGTGGCACGGTGGATAGACGCCAGCTTTCGTCGAAGGCTCGATCCACAGCCAGCCAAATCTTTAAAACAAATTTAAAATATATATGTATAACATTAGTATTGACTTATCGCTACGTAGATTACAATGAGATACAAAAAGCAGTAACATCTTGAGTAATACAGGAATGTGTCCGATCGCCTGTTAATCACCTATATCGCCAGTATTTGCAAGCATGCCAAGTTCTGGAACAAACAATTTCAGTAAAATCAACGAATTACTCTTTGCTAATGACCAGCCGTTAAAAGCAGATTGAGCCATGCAATGACAACACATCTAACGTCTATAAATAAACAAATAACATGAGACTCAAAACTGAAAAGACATAAGTAATAACAATAGGAAGAAAGAAGCATAATCCTAATTTAGCATTAGGGTACAAAACCATTAAATAGACATCTGAGTTTAAATACATTGGCAAATATGAAACTCTTTTAATTACAGTGAAAAGGCGAAAAATGCAATGGTATGGACATGTAATACGATCCAAAGGCCTCTCAAAAACAATACTGCAGGGCTCAGTAGAGGGAAAAAGGAGAAGAGGCAAACCAAGAAAGACCTGGTTACAGAACCTGACTGACTGGACAGGCCTTAGGCATGCGACCATGAAGTCCATTGCAACTGATCGCCAAAGTTGGAGAGAGCTGATCAGACAGTCAACAGAAACTAGCGACCCAAGGACATGTAGTGTTACGGGATGATGATAATGATGACGATGAGTTTAAACATCTGGAAACTTTAGTTACCAAAGATAGGGAATTGGATATAGAAATTCGCATCCAATGAAGTCAAGCAAACCAAGTATTCGGGTGGTTAGTTCCTCTCTTACGACACAAGATAATCACGACAATCGCAAATTGACAAACATCTCATATAAAGCATATTCATTACCATTCTATGTTAGCAGTGCCAGACATGGTCATTCCCACACAGACACACACACACACACAAACACACACACAGAGAGAGAGGGAGAGAGAGAGAGAGATACGAAAATTATAATAATGGTAATAAGATGTCTGACAAGGTCTGCAAGAGTTATCAGAAGAGATAAAATCAGAAAGTAGGTCATCATAAAAAGGTCGACAAAGAGGCAATTATAAATGACATATAAAGACAACAAATCAAATGATTGGCCAACTTAGAGAGATTGACTAGTGATGCCATATCACACAAGGCATACATAAAAAGATGAAAAGGACGAAGAGCACAAGGTAGACAAAAAACAACAGTTGAACAAAAATAACACAAGAGTAACTCACAACAGCACGATCTGTCAATCGAGGCGCAAAAAGGCAAAAACTAGAATCCTATATCTCCTTCCCCGTGTGGGTTCCGGGGCCACATTATATGGAAAACAAGAATAGACCCACTGCCTACCCAAAAGCATGTCGTAAGAGTCGACTAATTGGGAGCTTCCTTCAAAGTCGGAATTCATCTGCCTGAGAGGCAGGGAACCAGCAGTCTGTATACAAATGAGTCAAATCTGTAAAACGGATGCGCACGAAACACTCAGGTTCTGGAACAGGACTGCAGTCTAGGAGTGGATGAACAACCCAAACTTTCCGCCAGAGTTTACAGCTGGTGAACGCGAAGAAGAAGAGAAGGAAGAAGAAGAAGAAGAAGAAGAAGAAGAGGGCATAAGAAAAGGAGGAAGAAGAAGAAGAAGAAGAAGAAGAAGAAGAAGAAGAAGAGAAGAAAGAAGAAGAAGAAGAAGAAGAAGAAGAAGAAGAAGAAGAAGAAGAAGAAGAAGAAGAAAAGAAGAAGAAGAAGAAGAAGAAGAAGAAGAAGAAGAAGAAGAAGAAGAAGAAGAAGAAGAAAAAGAAGAAAAAAAAGAAGAAAAGAAGAGGTATATTTCCTCAATACCCGATGGGGTAAAAGAGGAAATGAAGAAGAAGAAGAAATAAATTGTCCTTTCTTGACGATCGAGCCTGAAAAAATAAATTAGTACTAGGAAAAATCCCTGCAGTAACAACCCATAAAGTGTCAGTTTGCCCATATACTCAATAAGCATAAAGGCACAGAAATAGAACGTTACTTACTTTCATTTATTTATTTGTCGCACAATGACTGCCAGGAGCTTCAGGACATAAGATGCTCAAGTACTTGCCCCCCTCCCCCCCCTCCCCCCCCCCCCTAAGAATTTTTATAACATTTGCAAGTTGTTAAGTAGCCATGGTTAGACGTTCTATTTTTAAGTACCGTATTCATAAATTTTATATTATTGCCAATAAACTATCATATTTATTCGACTATCAGCACAAAAAATAATAATACTAAAAACAAATTATTATTATTATTATTATTATTATTACGATTATTATTATTGCTGCGTAATTAAACACGAATTAGGTCCTTCGACGCCCCCTTTAGAAAATCAGAAATTTGGGAGCCAGCCCCGTTCACAGATGTTTGTTTTTTGTGGCTTCCCTGATGCTTACATGTAACTCCAATAATAATTATAATTCATCTTGTCCTTAGATATGGTTGGTAACAAAAGCGTATAGACTATCCCGCGTTCTGCTCGACTGCTTTTATATAACAACGGAAAATGGCAGGCAAAGAACGAGACTCATCAATAATTCAGCAATCGAAATCAAGTGTGGCGTACTTTTCAAAGTCGTTTCTGCAGTCTAAGGAAGGGATCAACAGTGCAGCAAATGTTGACTTTAATTTGGTAAGGGGTGAAGAGTCATTGTTACGGTGGTCATGCTTGAAAGATTACTGCATGTATGTACGCCTTCGGTTTTTCTAGAGATGCAGCATCAGCAAGGGCACGTCGTGTCGAATAACCATAGTACACGCACATGTCTAATGTAGTGATACCGAGACTCGGTCGTTCAGGGACAGTGGCAAACTACTGAACGTAAAATTGCATTGTGAAATTACAGAGTGCTCCCTCCCCTTCCCCATTGCTGCGTTTAGTTTTAAAATATCATATGTAAAGAACACGCAATTATTTTTTTCAACATCAGAATTGTAGAAGTTTAGAATAACAAAATCGCGATTATAAGCAGATGCAAAGAAATGCGAGGAGAAAAAGAAGAGGAGGGAAGGAATAAAAATAAGAAAAAAAAAAGACAGAAGTTGAAATATGAAAGGCGGGAGGAGAAGGAAGACAAATGAAGAAAAAGAAGAACAAGAACAAGAAGAAGAAGAGGCCATAAGAAAAGGAGGAGCGGTAGGAATGAGGAGAAGAAGAAGAAGAAGAAGAAGAAGAAGAAGAAGAAGAAGAAGAAGAAGAAGAAGAAGAAGAAGAAGAAGAAGAAGAAGAAGAAGAAGAAGAAGAAGAAGAAGAAGAAGAAAAAGAAGAAGAAGAAGAAGAAGAAGAAGAAAAAAGAAAAACAACAACAACAACAACAACAACAACAACAACAACAACAACAACAACAACAACAACAACAACAACAAGAGAGGCAAGAAGAAGAAAAAGACGAGGAGTGGGAGGAGATTTGAAACACTACTAATAAACACAGGGTGAAGTTTTTCGCACTGAAGGAGTTAAAAGTGCCTCCTGGAAAAGATAGCAAGCAAGTGAGCAGGGTAAGCTAACAGAATCGTCTCTGCTCCCCAGCAAACAATCGCAAAGGAAGCCAGAGAGGACAGAAGATCAACGATCGGGAAAGTGCACAAGTATCTGTTCACAAACGTGTCTCATTACTTAGGCATTTCCAATGAAGAGGTGGAAGAGTTCGTCCTAGACGATGCACTCGTGAGTATTGTATAATGATCCTTGCATCCATCCATCCATCCGTCCGTCCGCCGTCCGTCTGTCTGTCTTATCTTTCTGTGTGTCTCTCGGTCTGTCTATTATTCTGTCTATCTATCTCTCTGTCTGTCCACAGGCATACATGCTTGCTTCATTCACCTGCTCGCCTGCCTTTGATTTTATCTATCCACCCAGCAAGCTATCTGCTCATCTGATCTGTCTAGCCACCCATCCATGCATCAATCTATTTGTCCATCCTGCCATCCACCTAGCTGGTTATGAGTCGGTCTGTATGACTGTCTTCCTACCACTCTGACAAAGAATGTACTTATTTGTGTCTTTTTCCGTGGTTGTCTTTCTTTGTGTGTTTATGTGCGCATTTACCGTGAATTTTTTTCTTCAAAGCATCATCATCATCATGTAGCAGGTCCTTTGCAGAACGTCGCTCTCATCACGGTCTGCCTAAAAGAAACTCGGTCTCCCGCCAGCTCTTCCGCAAGCTCCCCCGCCTGATGTGCTTTCATATTCAAGGCATCACTTATATGCTGTCCCATCTTGATGTTGGTCGGTCCCCTGCCACTCTTTCCTGGTACCATGCCCTGTGCTATTATTTTTTCCAACCCGCCGTGGCGCTTGAAATGACCAAAATAATTCAGCTTCCGAGACAAAATGTTGTTTATTAGCCAGTCTTCTTTGATGTTCAGATCTTTTAAAATGTCAGTATTTCTCCTCTTTTTTGTCCATGACATTCTAAGAATCTTTCTATAGCATTTCAGCTCAAAAGTCCCTATTTTCTTTCCTAAAGACTGGGAGATAGTCCACGACTCACATCCGTATGTTGCTTCATGGTCTATTTCCATAGTTGTCTTTGTATATTTGTGTGTTTATATGTGCATTTACCCGTGAACTGCGTTTTTTAAAGCATATGTACAACATTTATTTTCAGCATATGAAAACCTTGTCTAGATTTCTGCAACAAGACGAACATATTATTTTGTTTCATCACCAAAAGACGAGGGAATTAACATTTGAAGGTACGTCTTTACATTTCTGACTTTGTGATTTCTTACATCTATGTGTCCGATCTAGTTTACTATCTACCTACCCACTCAAGGCCTTATGGGAGCAAGTGAACAATGCAGAAAGGCGAACATATCATTACAGTGTGGAGAGAATGGTTCGGCTTGGAGTAACGAGGCTATCTGGCCCACAAGTGCGCTAATAGGAAAAACAATATGGGCATGTAGTGAAAACTACTGCTGATCCCATCAGAACTAGAACTCTTCTGAAGGTGCTAAAAATGAGGACGGATCGCAAATGCGAATGTCCCTTGTGCTGTGACGTTAGTTCTTGCCTGAAATGGTAGGCATGGTACCTGTACATGATTTCATAGAAAATCACAGAATAAAACGTCATGATTGAACAAAATTGACCAGGGGTAGAACATGTCACATGAGACAACAACAGGCTACAAATCAAAAATGCGAACAAGAAAGAGATGGATGGATGGAGTAAAAGAGACACTACAGAAGCGCAATTTGATATTAACACAAGTTACACAATTAGCAAAAGACAGGAAACTACATCTCTCCTCTCTGCAACATCCTATGGCATAAGCAGCAGAACTACAGAAGAAAGGGACAGAACTAAAGTAAGTTTTATAGCGGAGACTGCGGTTGGTCAGACCATGACCGGCTCTAGTTGACGGGTAGTGCTGCTGACGTCACCGGGTCGGGCAAAAAATGCATTAACGCAGCGGTTCTCAAACAAGAAAAAAAAACTATTTTCGACATTGACGAGGGAAGACAAATTGAATTTTAACTCTTTAGTATCTACATGCCTTCTTTAATAATTTCACAATTTTTAGCCGACTTTTCTTGATTATTGCCGCGGCACCCCTTGCGTACGCTCATGGCACCCCAGGGTGTCTCGGCACCCAGTTTTAGAACCTCTGCGTTAACGCATCGTTAGCCCGACCTGGTGACGTCAGCAGCACGGCCCGTAAGCTGGAGCCAGTCGTGGTCAGGCCTCCACATTTGTAACCTACAGCGCATGACTTGACAATGAATCATAAAACAGTCACTGAAATAGGAAGTTCTAGGCTGCGTAGTTTGTCACAGTTATAAACAGCATTTGTATACCTGCTCTATGCTACCATTATAAAACATGAACATATGAAAGGCTGACCTACGTAAAATTAACATCTATGAAATTAGATGCTCAGGTAAGCAACAACTTAACCATCTGAGTTAAAAAGTTGAAAGTTAGTTGCGCATCCTTTACAGGACATTGCAGAACCAACCCCAGCATTTTTTGGCTTGTTTTCTTTTTTAGGCATCCGAGAGCAAGTGAAAAAAATGATCCTATAAAACGGATTGTGTAAACACTTTGCAGCAACTTTACTGTGAAGTAAAGTTCGGTTGTCTCGTTTAATGTGAAGTAATGGTAAAAGAGAGTGACCAAAGAGAGATTTGGACTGTTAACATTAAAGTCATACTTTTACATAAAACAACAATGGCCAGTGCTACCCATTGACGGCTTCGTTGCAACTGCTCTCTCCACGATGTTTAATGGCAAATGTCGGTTGACGATGATAGTAGTGTATGATTTTAAAATCTGTTTTTGTTTCTCCTATATAACCTTTGGTAAACCACATAGCTCAGAGAAATAGAAAAAAAAAACTATTACCACTTTCCGAGCGAGAGGTGGAGGTCACTTGTAGCTCGGGTCAGTTGTGGTCCTGTGATATAAAGTCAGTTGCGGCTCGGTCAAGTCAGGGGTCAGATGAGGCTTCGTCAAGGGTCTTGTGAGGCATCTCCTTGTAGTTCTTATCTAGATCAGCTACCAAAAGGATTGAATGTAAGCTCTTAATCAGCCCTTTTTTTTAAAATTTTTATTAAGTGGTATTTGACACCTACAGCTTGTTGTGCACAAACAGTTGGATATACAACAAGTTAGTTATATACTTGTTCAGTCAGACAACATAATAGTTAGATATGTGTTATGTATTGACTCGTTGTTCTTTATATAACGATTTTAAACTAATATACTGATGATCATACAATTATAGTGTTTGTCGCTGAGAAAAGATTCCTTCTGATGAGAAATACTGTTTCAGAGTGTGGTCGATCATATGCTCTGATCGCCAAAGATCGGATTGCTACCCGCGTGCTGGTGTCTAGAGGGGATGCACAGCCTACAGAGGGTAAATGTGTCTTTTTCCTGAAGAAGAGTACAGTGGCACTAGAGGAGAGAAACGTAGCTGAGGTATCTCTCACTCGCTTTTTTTCATTCATTAGTTGTCGCGTTGTGGAATTATATGTCCCATTAGGCCAGCAGTAAAGGTAAAAGGTAAAGGTAAAGTCGGGAGATGTGAACCAACCTCACTGCACACGGTTATAAACTATGTGTTCTGCCACCAGTACGGACGGCTGATAAGAAACTGCCCGCCTGTGACGACGTCCACACGTAACTCCGTAGCTGCAGCGAAGTTACTCCATTTACCCCAGAGTGTTAACTCTGGTACCCATTACCTAGAGGTTGGGTGAACCACAGGAACTGCCCTGTTTCGAAAACCGGCTGTGGGCTGCAGCGAGTCGCAGCTGGATTTGAAAGCGAGTCTACTATCGACTGCGCTAATGCGGTCCCTAGCAGTCTGTTTATCTATCCATTCCGTTCTGTCACTTCGATTTTATGGGTGGAATCCAGTTCATCACCTGTGGCTTCCCCTATCAACGTTCGCCTTTGCGTTTTTCTTGGACGTCTTCGTTTCCTCACTCCCATAGTTTCCCTTGTCAGTGCCTGTTACACCAGAGCCTAGCTGCCAACCCAAACCGACACTATAACATCGGACCACACTATAACATCGGACCACACTATAACATCGGACCACACTATAACATCGGACCACACTATAACATCGGACCACACTATAACATCGGACCATACTATAACATCGGACCGCACTATAACATCGGACCGCACTATAACATCGGACCACACTATAACATCGGATCACACTATGACAAATGACGGGTAGAATCATTATGAGGCTCCACCTGACATTTCACACACATCTCCATGACATGATTAACCCGTTCTTATTGCAGAAAGACAATAATAATACCACTATGGTCACACACGGAATATTTGGTGGTCCAAAGGATGTTATGTTGAGAAGCTCGCTTTTCTACGAAATACGCCTGACCAAATCAAAAGGAGCTAAAACCAAGAAGGAAACATCGGAAAATAAAGAGCGAGACGAGCACAGCTGACAACAGGATAGAGAATGAGCGGTCTGACATGCAGGAAATAAGTATTAAGCTCAGAGACTGCACAAATACCAGAGCTTTAGCCACTAAAGGGGCGCAAATAAAAAAGATCACAAATATAGATAGAGTCTGATGGCAGCTTCAGCTAGCTAGCAGTAGGTTAAACGTGCTTACTATTTTGATTTTTTTCCTAAAGGAAATTGGGATTGGACACTGGTGATTCTCCGTTCGTCACTTCTGAGAATTTGTTCAGTAGATTAAAGCTGACAGGATCAATTTAACTGATGCTAGTTGTATCTAATATGGCTCGGTCTCTCACTGCAGCACGGCTAGACGTCGCACACAGCACGAGATTTCTAGCTGCAGCCACGATCGTCGGATGTCTGTAATTGATTTGAATGGTGAATTAAGAATAGACATCACGACATTTGGGAGATTCCCATAAGCGCCCCGTCTCTATCTTCAGCAAAAAGCGCAGAGTTCCAATTCCGATGGCAGGACTAACAGACTGTATGTCTGTCTCGACTTTCTAGTGTTGAGCATTAGCCATATCCACTGATCACCCCTCGCAACATCGTTTTCTTTAAACCGTGATGCTGTATTTGTGCCTCCACACAATTCACTCACTACTAAAGGCCCCTTACAACACTTAGCTTGCCATGTATCAATTCACCACCAAGAAGCGCAGAACCAACCAATCTGTCTCCCTGTTCGTTTCCCAACACACCAGCATCGCCTGGAGAAAATAGCTGTAAATCAACGGAATGCCTTGAGAAAAATGTCTGCAAAGATTGCACCTGTAAACCGAACAAGAGAATTTTTGTTTGTTTTTTAAATGAAAAGAAACGGGCCTTTGTCACGCTACTGGCACACGACTTTAGACCACCATTTTTATGTTAGGCAATTTGAGGAAGATTTCTGAAAAGTCACATTTATGCTTACTATTTTTTGGAGGAGATGGGGGTGTGGGGGTGAGGTGGGGGTGAGGTGGGGGTCGCTTGCTTACTAACTGTCCAGGGTGCACGTCAGAACAGTTGTATAAGAACTGCTTCATCCCTTATATCTGTTTGTTAAAAAATTAGAATGGGACGTCACTAAAAAAAACATTGACCCAGCCTCCTAGCTCATTTTGGGGAAAGAGGGCTAAAGAGGCTTAAGCCTTGTTTAACTGTGTAATAATAATAATGGACGGTATTGAGAATACAGATAATTATCAAATAATATGAACTGTGTAATTAAACACATATTTTAAAAAGAGGGATCTTCCGTACATGATTAAGAAGCCCGTTTTACAGATTTTCTCAAAAAAATAGAATAAAAAATTATTTACACCTCGCGAGCGAGAGGTGGAGGTCAGATGTGGCTCCGGTGGTTTGAGGTCATTTACGGCTCTATCGAATCAGGGGTCAGATGAGGCTTAGTCAAGGTTCTTGTGAAAACCATATCTTATATTTATCCCCCTCCCCCACCACCACCACCCCCCCCCCCCTCACCATTTTTCGCCAAAATTTTTTTTTTTTCTTTTTTTCAGGAATTAATTTCTGGTTGCATGCAAGTTACGCCCGACTGCTCAATACTGCAGGCGGTAGCTAACTACGTCAACACGACCTTCCATCCTACTCTCACACACCTGCAGAACTGGGGAGTCATCAAAAGTAGCGTTGCCGACGCCGATAAGTGCACCTACAGCGCCATCTTTGTTGGCTTGGATAGTTTTATTCTGCATCTTTCCTGTAAGTTTCCCAGTTTTGCTTCCTGTTTCGTCACATGTAGACTGCCCTTATACACTTCGTAATCATGAGTCGTGGACTGTCTCCCAGTCCTTAAGGAAGAAAATTGGGGCGTTTGAGCAGAAATGCTATAGAAAGACTTATAATATCAGGGACAAAGAAATTGAGAAATATTGACATTTGACAGATCTGGACATCGAAGAAGACTGGCTAATAAATAGCATCTTGTCTCGGAAGCTGAAATATTTTGGCCATATCAAGCGCCTTGGCGCATGGAAAAAAAATAGTAGCAAAGAGCATGTGTCACATATCACTCCTGTCACGTGCCTGATATAAGGATTTCTCCTTCAGAACCAACAGCACTCAGAAATAATTATGTTGAGTCGTTTGGCTCGTATTGGTCTAAGGGATTCCCCGTGGCCAATATACGCTCAACTTATTTCTGGAGTAGGGCAACTCAAGTATTGGCACTATAAAATATATCAGTATATGAATACAATATTCCTAGACACATTTGGCTGGACACCCCCACTACTTACTAAAGAAAGCCCCCAGGTTATGATATTTCATTATCATAACCATGTTAACACATATAATATTTATGATTCATACACACACAAATGCTGAACACTTAAAAAGGTGAAATAGAGACACCTAAGTCAGCCATGAAAATGAATGCATGTAATCAATACAACATATATATATATATATATATATATATATATATATATATATATATATATATATATATATATAATAGTGAAGTAGATGCCAGATCTCAATAGAGAATTCCCAGAATACAGTCAGAAAGTCTTGGAGATGACACATCTTCATCATTGGGAAACATGGGAGCTGTGAGGAATATAGCAAAACATGGCATCAAACTGGCACTTATCCTCTTTCTATCGTTGATGCTTCCCTCAGCTCCTGATGATTCTACTGTCTTTGGTAATTCTGCCTCAACTGGATCAGATGGTGGAGAAGTACCTCACCATAAAGGACACAGCAACTGGATAGGCACACAGCAAATCTCTCCCACCAGTCCGGTCACACACTGTCTCTGAGCTACACCAAGCTCTGGCACTGTCAGGCTGTTTGGGGTATATGGCACCCCAGACTGATGATGTCAGTCTTCACAAGTGGTAGTTGGGTGATAATTGGTTGATAATTGGTTGATGGTTGGTTGTTTGGTGGGTGTTGGTTGGACTGTGATTTTTCTGCCAGCTCTTCACATAGGTTTCATCCTGTCAGGAAAGAACTCAGAATTAGTCATCACCAAGAGGGTATCATCTTGACAGGAAAGACAGAATAAGTATCAGTCACCATCCCACATCAGCCTACTCCACCTCTGCTCCTCTGTTTCATTCCTCAGAGTGCACTCTCAAGACCAGGAGACAATGTCTCCTATCATTCATCTGTCTGTTTAGTGCAAGAGATGGAAAGTCAGATGTATAGTGGAGATAGATAGACACTCTCAGACATATATTAATCTCTCCCCCCTCCCATTCGCACACAGACACCACTATTTACCGTCAGTACCCCTATTCCCTATGACTCTCAAGTCATTTCCACACATCCATTGATCTGGGTCAAACACACTCACGCGCTATGTCTGCCGAAGTACTGACTTAAATTCTCTGTCCCCATTCGTATGCACAAACTTCTGTTGTTAGTTTAAATGGTCCACACTTGTAAGGTCATTATTTTTGCCAGTATGTGTGGGTTATTTAAGGCATAGGCTGTTTAGTCTGTACAGAGGAGGGTCTAAGTTCGAATCCGCTTCTCTAGAGATCAAGAACGGACGAACTATGTGTGATCCCATAGCCGATTCTGATCTCTCAACAGCAGTGACCAACTTTAAAAATCTGTATTTAGGATACTCGTAAACTATAATTAACTTACCCAAGCATAGGAAAAGTCCCCGACACTACAGATCGCCTTATGAAAGTGAAATTTGTTGGCGTCGATGCATAAATCTGAACGCTAGGAAATCCGGCAGAAATAATGCCGCAAAAATTCAATTCAGGCGTCTGTAAGAAGAAGTTCCTTGTATACATGAGCACGGAGTAAACCGGTTTCTAAGAATAGTCAAATAACTACATCAACATTTATCATACAGTTGCAAATTTGAAAATGACGCTAAGTCAAAGCAACTGGAAGATGTAGGTATCATAATTCTCTCCGATCAAGGCATATATCGATATAGGGGACTATTTACCTTCCCGGACAAGTCCAAGTTTGAAAGTTGTGTCGAGCACAGGTAATACAGGTCTCAACTCTGTTAGGGTGATGCGTAATGGCTTGTCATTCCTTGACAGCATGGTACCAGGAAGTAGAAGCAGGGGTCGACCAACATAATGATGGACACATGATATAAGTGACTCCTTGAATATGAAAGTACACGAGTAGGGAGAGCTGGTTAGAGGTCGAGTTTCTTTCAGACAGACCGTGATGAGAGCGACGTTCTGCAAAGGACCTGCTACATGATGATGAACCATGTGGTAGTATTTGTGTGTCTGTTTTGTTTATCATAGTAGCGTGATGCCTAAAAAAGGTGCCAGTACTGCGTGCCGTCAGAACAAAAGTCATGGTTACGACAATTGGTGTTGCTTAAAAATGCACCCACGAAACTAGAGTATCTAAGGTTAGCGTGTCGACAGGTGATATGGTCGGTCTTACGCCCTCTGCATTTAATTCTCAGAACGTTTCATTTTACTCATTTTTCTAGAAAGCCAAAAACCAGCTCACATCTAAAAGTTCAGTGTCAAGGCGGGATTAGTTTGCATGTGTAAGCTGTAGCAGTTACGATTACACTGGAGAGGGTAACACGTAATTTTTCCCCCATCGCCGCTTCACTGCTGAGACTATACGTGCGAAACTATCATTGTAGTTCTAGTGACTTGTAGCTTTCACACGTTACAGTTTCTGAATGACTGGTGTAGGCAAGCAGCGAGCGTTCTTTTTGTTATGTACGAGGCGTAAATCGAGTAGCGTATTTAAAATTAATAGTTATCATCATCATCAATTTCCACTTCTGCCGTTAAGCGTTGCGGGGAGGAACAGTTTGCTATTCAATACGTGATGGGCAGCAATGGCTATTGTCATTCCGTGTCGATATAGAGGCAATTTAATGGCATCAATCCACGTTCTCCTAGGGCAGCCTCTAGCTTTCACTTCAGATCTTTTCATGTGCAGCGCCTGCGTTGGTAGTTGTTCTGAACCAGTTGTTCTTACTAAATGACCAAACCTTCTGTTTCCTGTTTCTCAATGAATTTGCTGCATGGTGTTGTCCCCACAGTCTGTCTGACAATATCCTTTCTAATTTTGTCGGGATTTCCTCAGACATCTCATTTCAAAGTGTTAATTTTCGGTCTTTGATATTGTCCAAGTCTATTATTTGTAGCACAGTGTTGGTATGAATATGCTGTTTATAAGCTGTTTCCTGACGCTCGCACTTATGTTTGGATGACTTAATAACGCTGTCGGTTGGTATATATGTGCACTGGCTCGTTGCAATCTTGTTTCTATTTCCGATTTATTCTCCCATCCTCCGAGAATATACTTTCTAGATATTTAAATTCTTTAACTTGCTTCAGACAAGTACCATTAAACCCAATATGTGGTGGACTAGGAATTCTACTGACATGCACGACTTCAGTTTTAGTAGTATTTATTTTCATGTTTTATCTTCTGCATGTTGAACTTAGCCTGTTGAAATGGTCCTGCAGTCTACTCCATTCATCATAGAACAGGTACTGATCGTCTGCAAATAGTGGCTAATTTTTTGTCTGTGGATCTAATTCTTCATCTGGAAAGTAAAGTTCCTCATTTTCTGGGTCGGCTGCTTGTAAGCTGGCTTCTTTTGTACTCTATCTTCGTATCTAGTAAATGAAATTAATAGTGAAGAGTAATAAAGTAAAGTAAAGGACCCTTTTCCACACCTTTCAGGTGTACTGGGAATATAGGGCTAGACCTACATTTTATAGACCAATCAGCATTTGGCGGGTGATAAGTTCAACATCACAACGGGCGCCTTCACTTCACTGGACTTTACCTGGTACCCCTTTAAGGCTGGATCAAGCTGGGATCCAAGGTCAATAAAAAAAAAGTCCGCTTCAGTCAAGACTTAAATCACGTCCGCTGCAACATGGCGGCTCCTGTAATAAACAGTAAACAATAATAATAAATAGTAAACAGCAATAATTAATACTAAACAGCAAAAATAATTAGTAAACAGTAGTAACAGATAGTAAACAGTATTAATAGTAAACAGTAATAATAGATAGTAAACAGTAATAACAATGTTAAATGTTGAAATGCAGCACTCAGGGCACCCCCAGAAGCGCTCGGTCCCCATCTTCAACAGCAACCGAAGAGTTCCAGTTCTGATGGTACAGTAACTGTCTGATTGTATATCCGCCTCGCCTTTCCCCTGAGTCTCAAGCATCGGCTAGATCCCCGGTTAAACAGTAATTATAAATAGTAAACAGTAATAATTGATAGTAAACAGTAATAATAAATAGTAAACGGTAATAGTAAACAGGAATAATAAACAGTAAACCGTAATAATAATTAGTAAAATATTTTTTCTTTGGTAATCAAATGTGCAACCAATTATAAATAACATAGAAAGACATCAAATCAAATGGTTTGCCCAGTTGGAGAGAATGCCTCCTTGATGATATACCATACAAGGCATATACCAAAAGAGGAAATGGACGTAGAGCAAGAGACAAACCAAGAACAAGACGGGAGGATAATATCAGAGAAACTCTACAGCACCACGATGTATCTATGGTCGAAGAAGCCAGAAGAGCACGAAGCAGGACCTTATATCTCCCTCGACACCTGTAGTGGTAAAAGGGGATGTAAAAAAGAAGAAGAATGAAAAGTGCAAGCGGCGAGTACATCATTTTCACGGCCGCCTGAGCCGTGCATGAACTCTTCATCAACAGGGGCAGAGCAGCACGTGAAGAATGCAGTGACCCTGGACTCACTGGACACGGAGAAGATGCTGCACATAGACGGAGTGGCCAACGCTGCCGACTTCGTCAACGCAGCTCAGAACAGAAACACCGTAGAGATCATGGAGGAGCTGGCAACACGCTGGTGCCAGCAGGTGGAGATGGTAAGTGGATGGCGTCTGCGGTTGTGGTCGGGGCAGGGGGGGGGGGGCGGAGAGGTGCACTGACGTACAGAAAACATTGGTGGGGTAGGGCCCTGAAACAAATTTGAAAAAAAGGGGTAGTGATTCACAGCCTCACCCCCCCCCCCCCCCCCCCCCCCGTTCCCCCCGGCAAAAAAATAAAGGATCCCTTTCCACACCTTCTGGCAAAGTGGGCATTGTTCACCTATATTTTGTATACCATTCGGCATTCTGTGGGTGTTATGGTCCACATCACATCGACCGCATTTACTTCCCAGGGCTCTATCCCTGGTACCCATTTAAGCTGGGTGGACCTGGGAGGGTTTTTTTTTAAAAAAGGCCGGATCTGTCAGGACCTGAATCCACCATCTTTGAATCTGCAAGTGAGTATCTAGACGCTACAGCACGACTCTAAGGTTCCAGTGCCTTTGTTTAACATGGTGCAGCGACTAGAAAACTGACTTGAAGTAAGGAAGCATCAAGCCCAGAGACGGCGCAAATACTAACACTTTGGTCACGAAAGGGACGCAAATAACCCAGACCACAAATATAGGCGGAGACTGTAAGCAGCCTCGGCTAGCTAGCAGCAGTCTGAAAGTGGTCGAACTTTTAATTATTTATAAAATGGAATCGGAAACCAAATCGACAAGAAAGTCCAGCCGCTGTTACTTCCTCTATTTCCTGTTACTCATTTTAGGCTGTGTCTAATATGAAAATGGGGAGTGGGGGTGGGGGGGGGGAGACTCATAAATTTGCCGTACGCTTGGTTCTTCTGGTACATTTCTGGTACAATAATAATAATAATAGTAATAATAATAATAACTGCGCTTTTAAACAAGGCCTGAGGCCCCCCTCTCCCTTCGCCCCTAAACCATTTTTGGGGCGCGGCAGCGTCAAAGGCTGTAAGCCTTGTTAATTATGCAGTTATTAATATTATTATTGTTACTATAATTAATATCATCAGCTGGGCGAGAATTGTTACAAATTGTTTTTCCAACTTCTGATTCTGTAGCGTCTACTGGCCAGTCCATACACTCAAGGCCCAGTGTGATCAGAACCCTCCACAAACTGACTTTGCTAGGGCATTCTGACTCTCTTCTCTCCTCGCCCAATGTCATCAAGCCTACACAGATGTATACTTGTGTCTTCAGCTTACGCCATCCAAGACCTTCTTCTTTTCAGCCTGTGACAAATAGCTCTGTCTAGGGCATCATGCAGGAGGTGTTTCTTATCTGCGGCTACTCTGAGATATGACTTAGCTTGCAGCACATTGAGCCTATTTGTAATAGTCGGCAGTACTTGTATATATCCCATACAGGCTATTAACATATCTCTTATACATCCCAGAAATACCCTCATGTCAATAGCAACATAAACATTTACTAAATTCCAAGTTGTGCCTTCATTTTCCATCTCTATACCCTAAACCTCTCTTGTAATGTGATTCAACTGACCCGAGTCAAGCACCACATGCTTTACCCCGATTCTTCACCAGCAGACATTGCCCATGTTCACCTCGCCCAGTAGGATTACTTTTAAAAAAAATATACTGATATACTCTTTCAATTAATTTAGAAAAATGCTTAAAAAAATAAGATTTGATCTGCAGCTCACAGTGTCACGCCATGTACTCAGCTTAGCAGCTGGAAGACAAAACTATACCCCTTCAGCCAACAAATTGGGGAAAATGCCACGGTTAGTTAGAAGAAAAATTAGTCACCACTAAAAAACAGCGACTGCACCCATCCTCCACTTTGACTGGAATTGATTGGTTGGTTGAAAATTGTATATTTTTTAAGAGCGGGGGTGGGGGGGGGGGTGTGGGGGGAAGCTGGAAGTTGTCTTAAAAAAATAATAGGGGTGGGTAGGGTGGGCTGAAGGCATCTGAGCTTCCAGGTTCCGGCGACTATGAAGAGTAGAAACATTGTGGTAGTTTTGTTGTTGTTTGTTTTCTTTCAGATCCTAACTGAAGCAGACCGGATTCGGCGCGAGGCAGACGACACTGGGCCAAAGAAAGAATTGGAATTCTGGCTAGGCATGAACGCCAGGTTCAGTTATCTAGTTCAGCAGCTCCGAGACAAAAAAGCCCGTGCGGTGTTCCACGTCCTCCACGTGAAGAAGTCTCCAATCATGAAACTTTGGACAGAGCTGGATATGAAAGTTACTGACCACGCCAATGAAGCGAGAGATAATGTTAAATACTTGTATACGTTAGAGAAGTACTGCGAGCCTTTGTATAGATGCCAGCCGGTAGGTAGAAACACAGCTTTATGTTAGCTGTTGCATTAGTAAAGTGGGCGATTGGTTAGTTGGTTGATCAATAGATTGGTAATCTTGGTAATCTTAGTTTCAGCTTCATAGCGAACGGGTCACCCCATAGTTGCTCCGCTCCTGTGCCAAAGAAAAAAAAAGACACAAAGTTTCCATCACTGACCCTTGTAGAAAAACTGACACAGACTGCAGCCTCAGCATATCCATTAATACAAAAAGACGCATTAAAAGCATAAGGCAGCCATCAGAAGTGCTAACACAAACAGTCTGACATTATAAATACAGTTCATCATCGACGAAGGCAGCAGTTACAAACAGATCAGCAGTTGTACACGCTGTTAAACTGTATCACGTAAGGCGCCACCAACTCTGTGGCAACAAGCCACGCACAATTTTAAGAATCTACAGTTCACAACACCACGTTGGTCACAGTCGAAAGACATTCCAAATGATATCTGCAGCTCACAGTGTCGCACCATGCACTTAACTCAGTAGCTGGGAGACAAAACTATACCCCTTCAGTCTACAAATGGAGGGAAATGCCACCGTTAGTCAGAAGAAAAAAAATTAGTCACTACTAAAAATCAGTGACTGTGCCTATCGTCTGATTAGACTGGAATTGACTGGTTGGTTGAAAACTGGTTGCTTAGATGATGGGCTGGCTGGTTGGTGGGTGATTGGATGGTTTGTTATCGTCTGACTGGTGGTGTTACTGGTTGGCGGGTGTATAGTATGCAATACGAGTTCGTGTTGGTTGAATGATTTGTTGACTGGTTAGTTAGTTTATTAATGTTTCTTTGGTTGGTTGATTAGTTTACTGACTGATTATTTTGTTGATTGGTTTGCTGGTCAGTTGGTTGATGACTGATTATAGATCGGTTAGTTGGTTAACTTGCTGGTTAACTGATTATTTGATTGATCGAAAGGTTGATAGGTTAATCAGTTGGTTAGGTTAACTGAACGGCTTGCGTGTAAGGCTATTGTGGGAGGCACTAAGCTAATGTACCAAGCTAGGACTGTAAATCTACCCCCAAAGTTTATTGTTTTTTGTTTATGCAACGGATCAACGTCATGGCAAACTGCTGTAACCCCTAAGTGCTCCCGTCTACTTCTAATTCAAGCCTGAGATTGAAGAATCTCAGCGCAGTGCACAAACTCCGTTGCACCTGTAAGGATCCTGAACTATTTGAGGTAGGTTTTTAACTCCAGATTTCGCCCAGGCAGCGCCGTTGGGCTAATGTTTTTCTATTTCCAACTGCCAGGGGATTTTTTTTACGTGCGTAACAATACACACGTCCGATCTCACTACCCAGAGACCAGACTAGCAGTCCAAGTTCACGTAAAAAAAAATCCATTCTTCGGACTCAGGCATGAGTCAGATGTAGAACGGAGCACTAATGGGTTACACCCGTATGCCAGGTTGTTGATCCGTCGTCTAAACCAAACCCATTGCACATTACGGCTTTACTGGCACCCTAGTCTACTTTACTTAGTCCAGTGTTTCCCAAACTTGTTTAAAGTCGCGGCGCCTTTCTTCGAATAAAAATTTTCCACGGCACCCTGACCTACGTAAAGGTATGACTATAGTACGTAGGAGTTTAAAAAAATCGTGTATCTTCGAATATTTCGCGGTGCCCTTGTAAAGAGGTCGCAGCTCCCCGGGGCGCCGCGACGCACAGTTTGGAAATCACTGACTTAGTCACTGATTATATAACGATGTCCCCGTAAGATTCCAGGCCCCATTGTGGAAGGAAAATATAGGCGTACATATCTCAACTTAGCTGTAAACCACAACACAATGTACCAGTCTGCCAGGTTAGGGGCGAATGTAGCAGCAGAAGAAGAGTGTACGATGTTTTCTTGTTCATTATTAAACTGATTTTCAGATTCTGATGTGGGCAGACTTGAGGTAAAATGAGGGAGAAGAGGACCGAGACAGAAGACGTTGGACAATACGATTTCACGGAATGGAAAATACTCCGTGTCATAATGGATTAAAAGCACTCGAGACAGAAGGTTGTGGATAGACATAACTACCAGCGCCAACCAGGCATGAAATTTAGGAAGAGGAATCCCTGGATTGTTTGCTACCCGATCTGGTGGTTATGTTTCCAACCCCCCCCCCCCCCTTTTTTTTCCACACCTTTTTCCTTTTTTTTTTTCGAGACAGATTTTTAAATTTAAATAGGGGAAATCTAAAAATACCGCGAACATCTTGGAGAACATCGTGACAACGGGAAAGATCAGTGGCAAGAGGGGTAGAGGCAGACCCAGAGAGATGATGCTAGATGGGCGGAAACGATAGCATGGAGGGATACCATCACGAGATCTGTTCCAGGCAACCAGGGATCGTGATCTGTGGAAACGCATGAGAGCCTACGACAGTTGTCAGGGCACACGATGTGGTGTCAGAAAATGCTCAGGAGGTAAAGGGGACCAACGGAACATTATCACATCCCCCATTGAATGTGCTGATTGCATATCTTTCTTCCTCGCGCTCACTGGCTGTAAACTCCAGGGACACGATCTGATTGTTCTTCCACTTCCGCTCTTTAGTCCTGTTCCAGAATCTAAGTGCTGCGTGCACATCCTGTTTACAGATCTGGCTTATTTATGTGCACACTGTCCATTTATCCTTCCGTTTATGAAAAAAAGGCTCTTTTTAAATCGTTCTCCAAAATGGCGGCTTTAATATGATGGCGTTCAAAAGAGAGCTAAATTGGCCAATTTCTGACCATAAAATATCCAAAAATATCCGAATGCGGGTCAGTTCTATTAAAAATATATGTGCCGGCTCCGGATAACGAAACAAATGCTCTGACAGGGTCTCGGCGATACGTTGCTTGCCGACCTGCTTCTGCGAGTGTGCCCCACCGCCGAGCGTATCTCCTAGGGGCTAAACTAGATGGCTGGGACTCACGAGCGGCAGCTACCGCATCTCCTGCAAATTTCCTCCAATTACTGTACTCATGAGTCCCAGGCATCTAGTTTAGCGCCCATCCGGGGATACGCTCAGCGATGAGTTTAATCGCGTTTGGCGCATGCCAACAAGTCTGACATTTACCGCTGCTAAATCCTCCAATCGGAAGAACACAGTATTGCTAATCGGCTTTCATCGTCTTTAATGTCTCGAAATTTGTCAACGGTCGCTAATATCGTCTGCTAGTATCGTCTGTAGAAACGCTCGAAATTGTTGTCAACGGTCGGTATTTATCGTTTGTTACTAGTACCGTGTGCAAATGTTGATATTGATTGTCAAGTAATCCTAGTTTTGCCGCGATTTGTTCCTTGGCAGAAAATCCGTATTTTAGATTTACGCGAACACCGTCGTTCTGATATTTTTGGATATTTTATGGCCAGAATGTGGCATGCCGCCATTTTGGGAAATGAATCAAAGGAGCGCCCAAAAAAAATGTTCAACTACTGTGAGTAGTACCAGCTATATTTGTGGTATGGTTTCCTTGTGCCAATTATGTTTGCTAAGGAATGTTAATTACAATAAAACTAGTGACCTGGACCGGTACTCTAGTACCTAGTGAGGGTTGTTGGGGAGGGGGTTGGTATGCACTATACACACTTTTTTCACATATGTACAGAATGTTGTATCTTTGCCTATCAGGCAGATGTACTCCGACTTCGAAGAAAGCTCCTAGTTAGTCGTCGACTCATACGACATGCTTGGGGTGGGGGAGGCAGTGGGTCTGTTCTTGTTGTCCCTAGAATAGATTACGGAACCCACCCGGAGACTATTGTTATATGACTTTACAGAGATAGCTTTGTTTAGTCCCGTATTTCATATTTCATTCAAGTTTTTAAAAAAAAGGTGAAAGACCTTTTCCACGCCTTATAGACCAATCGGGTGATGTGGTTAGCATCACACCGGCCGCCTTTACTTCCCATGTCTTCACCTGGTACCCCCTCAAGGCTCGGTCTACCTGGCAGCCACAGAGATCGAATCCATGACCTTCCGATCCGCAATTTATTCAATGGATAAAATGATTTGACGAGAATTCCCGAGAACCAACAAACACAGAAAATCAAGGTGAAGAAATTTAGTGAATAGAGAGTTGGGTAAATGAAGTCGAACTTATACAATACATTAGAAAACACAATAACTAGAGAAAGAGAATTAAAAAGAAGAAGAAAGAAAGAAGAAGAAGGTGTACACTCTGTTGTTTGTGTCCTATGTTCAATTTTAGAAATGAGAAACATATTTAAAAATCATACTGTTATTCTCTTAAGCGCTTTTCTAACAGTATTTAGGTATAAAGTATCTGCACTGATATTTTTTTATTTAAATGCATTCACTGATATCCTATATTTCTGTTCATCATCATCATTCCGTAACACTACATGTCGTTGGTCACCTGTTTCTGATGACTGTCTGATCAGCTCTCTCCACCTTTGGCGGTCAGTTGCGATGGACTTCATGGTTGTATGCCTGAGGCCTGTCCAGTTAGTCAGGTTCTGTAACCAGGTCTTTCTTGGTCTGCCTCTTCTCTTCTTTCCCTCTACTGAGCCCTGCAGTATTCTTTTTGAGGCAGTTAGATCTTATTACATGTCCATACCATTGCATTTTTTCAACTTTTTCACCGTTGTTAAAAGAGGTTTATAGTTGCCAATGTGCTGTATAATTGTATGGCGAACCTCTTCGTTTGTAATGTGGTCTCTTTATGATATGCCAAGCATTTTTCTGAAACATCGCATTTCTAATGTTTGTATCTTTCTTTAAAGTTCAGCTGTTAAAGTTCAAGATTCACAGCTATTTTCTTTTGAGCAATATATGTATTTTTTTTTTTTTCATTTCTTTCATAGATAACTAATCAAATTGTGACCAGCTGCAAAAACTACATATCAGATAATGGATACTCACGGCTGTGGGATATTCCAAAGGATGAACTGTATCTCCGTCTCAACAACTGTCTAAAGTGAGCGTTTTATTCTACGGTATTTTTTGTCACCTCCAAATGGCGTGTTCGCCTCGCTATGGAAACATGCGTGCTATACTAAGAACATTACCAGCTAGGTACCCCTAAAATGTGTATTCATTCGCCATGTCTATCATACAGCTTAAAATCAACAACTATGGAATACAGACATAATTCATGTCAAATCATTGACATGGCACCATAGGTTACATACATTTATATTAAGCAAGCACAGGTCGAATAACAAACACAGCAAGAATTTACAAACACAGCGGACCGTATTGCTTTGTCTAGAATTCCCTAGCAGTTATTAACAAAGAGATTTGATTGGTAGGTTCCACTGTGTATACGTTACTCACATAAATAAACAGAGGGGGATTCCTTGGGGCCGTAGAATATTATATATATAATGAACAAAAGGGTCCTTTACTTTACAATAAAGGTTGTGGTGAGACAGATGCCCTCCACTGATCCACACACAGCTTTGGTTCCCATTGGAATGCCAACTGGCCGAACACGCGACGGCTCTGCTGCACGCAGAGAGCATGTCCGAAGCAAATGTTCAGTATTCTGTGTTGCCTGTCCACATGGATAAAGTTGAGTTGAGCTGAGTCAAGAATTGAAATCACAGCACTCGGGGCATTCCCATGCAGGCTCCGTCCTCATCTTCAGCAGCCAGCGCAGAGTTCCAATACTGATGGTACAGGTCACAATCGGGTTATATGTCCGTCCAGCCTTTCCTCTAAGTGTAGTGAGCCGGCCAGACCATCTGGTTACACACAGATGTCTCATTATCTCCAGGCCATAATAATCTTGTTTCTCTACTGATTCCGTTGCTTGTTCCCAAAGGGCCTTGACCACATCTGCCTTGTCATGTATGAATTCACCAGCCAGTCTGTCTGCCCGTTCATTACCCACTACAGGAGAAAAGACATTCTAAAGTATGCTCACTACCTGTGACCTTCCCAATAAAGGTTGCCACTCTGCTGGAAACATCCTCGTCTTCACCTTTCTCAGCATGCCTTCAGTCTCTTACAATTAAGACATATGTATGCATTTTGTTCTCTAGCCACCGGAGAGCTACAGTATGGGTAAAGTTCTAAACGGATAATGGCTGAATACTATTAACGCACCCCTCCCCAAACCCTCACCCTAACCTAACCCCACACACACTACAGTTTTATCCCACTCGATAAAAACTGATTAATTACTGATTACTTATTTAAGAATCGACAGCATAACACACCGGACATACCCATAGATGCTCTGTCTCTCGCAGCAAACATTTTAAGGTGTATATGCTTACTGTTCCCATAGCACACTAATTTAACACATGTTGTTCTCTTCCTCTCCTACGTCCAACCTTGCCTGATTTACACTTAATTCACACAGAAGAAGAAAATGGAAACATGCAAATAACAAAGTTTCGTTAAATGTTTATATGAGGGTACTGTTTTCCTAGCGTTGTGTATGCTTCAAATGGTGTCGTCTGCTGGTTTTTATAAAGGTGAGCATTTGTACAGGACTTTTAGCTTTTGGTCCTTTTCCCAGCCCTTTAGGCGTATAGGGCATAAAGGGCTAGACCTATATTCTATAAACCAATCGGCACAAGATGAGTGATGTGGTCAGCTTCACGCCGGTCGCCTTTACTTCCCGGGACTGCATCTGGTACCCACTGAAGGCAGGGTCGACCTGGGAGACAAAGAATTTTTTTTTAAGTCCAGCTTTGCCAGATAGCGAACCCATGACCTTAAGATCCGCACGCAAGCGTCTAGCCGCTATGCCACGGCGACTCCCTTTGCACAGGACGGTAGGCTAGAACTTTGCATAGTCGTTACTGGTGCCTTTGTTATAACTTCAGCACAGACTGAACAGAGTATTTGGGAGTTGTCCAGCTAATTAGTCATCCACGACGCGAATTGTGTGTGTGTGTGTGTGTGTGCGCGCGCGCGTGTGTGTGTGTGTGTGGTGTTTGTGTGTCTGTATGTGTGTGTGTGTAGCAGAGCTGCTCATCTCTTCAGGTCGGAGTCACACATTTTCAGTTTGGTGTTACTGTCAGCGCTTAGTAATTAGTAAATAGAACCGTTAGTAGTGTTAGCTTTTATGTCTGGTGTTGTTTTAGATTGTTTCAGACATATATCCACATCTTTGAAGTGACCAAGAAGAAGATAGCCAACACAAAGACGGAAAGGCCATTTGACTTCTCAGAAATGTATATTTTCGGGAAAATATTTACCTTTCGGGATAGAATTGAAAAGGTAAAATTATAAGAAAAAAAAAGGACTATTAGATTATTCGGCTCTTCTTGCAATACCGGACGAGGGCTAAATTAAGTAAGACTCATTGGCACTAAACAGTGAGCGGAGAAGTACGAAACAACATACAGGCCTACTACGGTTGGTGTAAGGTTAGTACGGTTGGGTTTAGTTGCGTAGTCATCATACGGTTGCTCTTGCGTAATCATATGGTTGCGACTCGCGTGCGTAGTCCATACAGTTGCGTGTACGGCCGAGGGTGTTAGGGAAACCGGTTAGCGGTTTCCGGGTAGGGTTAGGGTTCGGGTTAGGGTTAGGGTAGGTTAGGGTTAGGGTTAGGGGTAGGGATAGGGGTTATTGTTAGGGGTAGGGTTGGGGTTAGGGGTAGGGTTAGGGGTAGGGTTAGGGTTAGATGTGACAATTTTGACGTAGGAGTTCCAAATACTGGCCGACAATTTGATGTTTGTGGGAGTGGTGCCACTGAAACTCTGCCAAATATGATGGCAATAGCACGCGGCTTTGCCCAATCGTGCGAATTGTCCTTAGCGACACAGTCGTCGACAGTTTGGGTGTCAGTGACTGTGCGCGTTATAGTGAACTCCTGCAGAGACATCTACTGTTTATAACCCCAACCCTACCCCTGAACCCTGGTACTCCTCTACCCGACTAACCCTAACCCTAACCGTAACCCTAACGTTACCCCTACCTTAACCCTACCGCTTATGGTGAATTTATCGGTCATTAAAGCATACAGATCGGCAAAAAGCACAACAGCTTTCCCCTCAACGTCAAAAAAAAAAAAAAAACCCAGATTGGGGGACACAACCAGCATAGCCCTGATATCGACCTCACTGTCTTCTTTGTTTTGTGACTTTTCCGCTCATTGTTTCCAGTGCGGCCAAGGGAGAGAACTCTTACTAAACTGAACTAAGTCATCCAGCCCTCGTCCGGTTTTGCAAGAAGAGCCGATTATTCATCCATAATAAATAAGGATCATCATAACTAAACATACAGGACTACTATGGGAAGGATAGCGCAGTCGATTGGAGACTCTCTTGCAAATCCTGCTTCGACTCGCTGCAGCCCACGGCCGGTGTTGGAAACCGGGCGGTTTCCGCGATTCCCATGGTTCGCCCAGCCTCTAGGTAGAAAATGGGTTCCAGAGTTAACACTCTGGGGTAAATGGATGAACGTCACTGTAGCTATGGAGTTGCGTCTACGGAGTTGCGTGCGGACGGCGACACAGATGGACAGTTTCTTATCAGCTGTCCGTACTGGTGGCAGAGAACTTACAGTTTATAACAGTGTGCAATGACGCTGGTTTACATCTCCCGACTTCACCTTTTACTTTTTATGGGAAGAATATATAATCTGTAATACAGCTGGCAAAATTAAATTCAGCAGTAACCAGAGTTTGCTCTCTTGTATAAAACGATGCTGGTTAGTTAGTTAAGCGAAGGGTTATCCTCATTGCACATCTAACCATTCAGCTGTAGGTCCTCGGATCCCCTCTTTTGTAAATCCAGCCATGTGTAGAGCGGTTGACAACACCAGTTCTGTGTTGGTTTCTTATTCTTCTTTGGCTTCCTGCATAGTGCTGTTGTCTGCCCACACCACTTTTAACATGTTTTTGCAGTCTGGTCATGATTGCAGATGCACAATCATCACTTAGTTTTTGTGAATATCTTACTTCTCACAGAGCATTCAGAATATCTTCCTGTTCATTGGTTTGTCCACCTTCCACAGTAGCTTTACCTGCAAGCCTATCAGCTTGCTCATTTCCTTGCACACCTTTATTCCCTGGCACAAATATGAAACTGATATATGTCAGCCTCAACAGCTTTAGAGACTCCAACCCCAGGCTTTGGACCCAGCCCATCTCTATCTTCCTGAGCATACTCATTGAGTCACTGAGAAAACGTGTGTGGGTAAAGGTTTGTGTCTCCAGCCATGTTATTGCTTAGGTTACTGCCATGTCAGACTACTTGTGGTCAAGGCAACAGCACCAGAATCTTGTTTCCCAATTCCAGCTCCAACCTGAGCCGTGAAAAGCCCAAGAGCTTCGCATGGCAAATCACAGACCCATGTGTGAATGAGAGCATTCCCCTGTAGAGATGCCAGTGCTCACTAGAGAGTGTTTAAACAATGGGTGTTTGTACTCATCACAAGGTGTATTTCATAGTAACACTGAAGAAATGTGTGTATGAAGTAAGTTGTACCCACCAGTACATCACACAAGCAATAAACACCAGGTGACACAAAGTTTCACCATGCGGATGAGGATCACCCGTGGAGAGGTCCCAGAAACCCCGTTCAGCCATTTGGCCATATTTCAGGCCAGGCTAAATTAAGGGCCCCCGGCAGAAGCCAGGGTAGGGCTTCAAAATAACTAAAAAATTGCATCCCACAAGGGCATGATGAGATTAAACTGAAGGAATAGAAAAAGATTTTTAAAACAAGGTGTGGTACTGCCTGTCATTGCATACCACCAGACAAACAACCTTGACAAGACCAAATTTTCTGCAGTTTAAAAAAAAAACAATTTTTTTTTGTTTTGTTTTGGTTTATTTGCTGCTGTTGTGTGAATTGTCAGTTTAGATGACCTTTCAACTTCAACTAATGAGTTATTGTGTTAAAACTCAATTGTCAAATTTCAGGATACACCTATTTGTTTCATAGTATTACTGGCATTGATATAACATCACACCTCAGAACTAATGTTTTAAGAAAACCTTTTTTTTTTAGTTTACCTATTTACAGAAAAAAAAATACAGCATGTAAATTTAAAATTTGAAAAAAAAACCATAACCTTTTGATGATGATGATAATGATGATGATAATGATCTTCTTCTTCTTCTTCTTCTTCTTATGTAGAATATATCAATATAGTATAAGCTGTTGACCAACTCACAGCATACCGTCCTATCTTTTGCCACTTTTGTCCCCTCTGTCTATGTCTTTCATCTATTATTCGTGCATGCCTATCTTTTTACCATGCTTTTTTTTTTAGTGTTTCCCGATACAGTATTTGTTTTTGAAAGAATACTCTGCCTAGTTATGTTTTTTACAGGTTTTCTTTAAAAGTTGTACTTTTCAGTGTATCTTCTTTTTCTTTGTGTTCAGAGGCTTTAAACTCCAGTCAAAGGTGCTGGTTGTTCATCCCCTTTTGGCTTTTAGTCTTGGTCCAGAACTTATGTTTTGCATGCACATCCATTTCACACATCTTGCTTATTTGTATGCAGACTGTTTGTTCTTTGCCTCTCAGGCAGATGCACTCCAACTTGAAGAAAACCTCTAATTAGTCTACTCTTATAACATGCTTGTTTAGGGAGGTAGTGTGTTTGTTCTTGCTTTTCCTCTAAGTGGGGCCTCAGAACTCACATGGGGATCAGTGTATCTTGATTCATTTGAATTTGTTTCAGTCAATTATCAGGGGCCTTTTCCACAAATAAGGTAGGCTGCAATAAATCTCCAACATGTTTGTCTCTCATCCTGGCTGTACACTCTGTTCCTGTAGGTCATCTCTTGATGTTATTCTCCCATTTATATTGTTTTCTGCCTCTTGCTGACCTGTCCATAACTTTTCTCCTGTTTGATTTTTATGTGTGAAATTTTTCTAATTATCTGTATAAGTGCTACATTAATGAATTTCATACCAGTTGAGGGGAGCTGAGGTAAGAACCAACATCCCAGCTTCTTCTTCTTCTTTGTGTTTTCTTTTACAGCTTCGAGTGTTGAGGGAGATATAAGGTCCTGCTTTGTGCTCTTCTGGCTGCTTTGACCATATACATATTGTGGTGCGGTAAAGTTTCTCTTGTGTTATCTTCCTATGTTGTTCTTGGTCTGCCTCTTGCTCTATGTCTCTCTCCTCTTTTGGTAGATGCCTTGTATGGTTTAGCATCAGAACACATTCTCTCCAGGTAGGCAGTCCATCTGATTTGCTGTCATTTTGTATAATTTAGAATTGGTTCTGTGCTGATTTTATGCCCTCATTCCTGATTTTTCTCTCTTCTGGTCATTCCTACAGTCTTTCTCAGACAACTCATTTCCATGGTAACTAATTTTCTTTTATGTTTGGTTGTGAGTGACAATTTTTGGCACTGACAGAATAGGGTGGGAATGAATATGCTTTGAATGATGTTTCTTTGTGCTGATTTGGATTGTCTTATGCTGTAGGGGTGGGGGTGGGGGTTCAAGGGTGTAGCTGTCCCAGTACTTGGCTTGTTTTACTTCATCGGATGTGAATAGCATCACAGCCCTCAGGATATTCCTATAAGCATCTACCTGCGGAAACAATCACAGAGTTTCAGTTCTGATGGTAACAGTATATATATTTGCCTCAACCTCCATTTTGAAACTAGACATTGCAGTATTGTACACTAGGCTTTGTACCACCAAGAGTTTGTTCATTCACTGTTGCAATGAATTTCCATGCATTACCGCCAGTCTAAACAATGCTATCACTGGGGCTAGGATGGTCATGAATCAGTTGTTGAATTTCTGATGCTGTCCCAGTACTTGGCTTGCTTTACTTCATCGGATGTGAACAGCATCACAGCACTCAGGATATTCCTATAAGCACCTACCTGCGGAAACAATCAAAGAGTTTCAGTTCTGAGGGTTACAGTGGGAGTCTGACTGTATGTCCATCTTGCCTTTCCTTTGAGTCAGCCAGATCCTCTAGTCACTGTCATGATCACCATTCTGTGCAGTTTGCAGTGATATACTTGTGCATCTACAAAATACCTTGACCACGTATAGGTTGTCATGAATCACTCAGTGGTACAGAACCAGCCAGTCTACGCCCCTGTTTGTTTCCCAGTACACCTGCATTCCCTGCAGAAGAGATTCAAAGGATATAACTGCCCAGAAACTTTGAAGGGGTGATTACAACTCTGCATGGAGCATGCTTGTCTTCATGTTTCTCAGCATGTGGGTGTGCATGTGTATGTATGTGTATGTGAGTGCAGCTGGTTCACAAGCCTGTGGAAAGCTCTATAATTGCCTCAACCTCCATTCTGAAACTAGACATTTAAGTATTGTATACTAGGCTTTGTACCACCAAGAGTTTGTCCTTTCGCTGTTGCAAGGAACTCCCATGCACTACTTCCAGTCTAAACAATGCTGTCTATATATGTAATCACATCACTAGGGCTGGGATGGTCATGAATCAGTTGATAAATTTCTGATTTTGCGGTACTTGCTGGCCAGTCCTTGCCTTTCTGATGCAGTGTGATTAAAACCACACACAAGTTTGATTTTTTTGGTTCTCTGAAACTTTGACTCACTTCTGTCCTCACCCATTTTTATTATCAAGCATACATAAATCCCTCTGTCTTCTGCTTTCACATTCCAAGACTTCCTCTCATTTGTTTATGACCCATAGCTGTATACGGAGCTTCATAAAGAAGTTGTTTTGTTTGTTGTTGTCTGCATCGGTTTTAGGTTTCCGGCTCTTCCAGCAATTATAAGGAAAAAAAGGCTACGACCTACTGAACTATCGGAACAATAGCCTTTGAATGAAGATTTTGACAAATTCCTGGAGCTGGCTGATGATTTAAAGGTAAAGTATCACTAGGTTCACAATGGCATTATTGATACTGCTATTTTCCCAATTGTACCGTGTACTGTTGGAAAACTGCACTGAAGTATTGCACAAGGACAGGAAATCATGGAAAGTCTTTTCTGAAGCCTCATGTGCCACTAGCGCAGAAACGAGAACTGATCCATGATGGTTGTTATACTGTTGCCGCTTCTATTTTTGTACTTCGAATTGATGGTCAAAATATAGGTTAGACCAGTGCACAGGTTCACCACAGCAACCAATGCTTATGCAGCTGAGTCTCTGTTTTTAGTTCTCCAGCAAAACTGATCTCTGTCATGTAACCTGCCGATCCACTTAACCAGATCGTCAATGTACGATACAGTGATCTGCTTGACGGTGATCTGCTATGTGATTCTCATGCTATAAACCGTTACAGCACAGGCATGGAGATAATGGTGAATCCCGGTGGCAGGCTGGTATGTATATGTATGTCTAGAAGTTCCAACTGCCTTGCATCTAAAAAAATCCCTCTTGGTAGAGAGAGGCTGCAGAGATCCAACTGAGAAGGAATGGACTTATTTTAGTTCAAGAAGCTGAAACATTTAAAAAGTCTGACAGCTACTCTTTTGTATGCATCCTCAAGATCAATATCCGCAGTCGCAACGTTTCAATTCCTGAATGGAAACATTTGATATACTCATGGGCAAAAACTGCTGCACTGGTCGCCAGGTGCTTCTCTGTTTGGAGACGTTACACCCCTAGGTGGAGATGCAGAAATGCTTTGCCTCTCCAGCTAGCATGACATATTTATGCTTTGCTCTCCCAGCTAGCACGATATTGATGCTTTGCCTCCTCTAGCGAGCACGATATTTATGCTTTTCCTCGCAGTCTAGCACGATATTTATGTTTTGCCTATCCAGTTAGGCACGCGATCTATTCCCCCCGGGGCCCCAAAATTTTTTTTTGGGAAAACGCCTTCAGTTTGCCAGTTTTTTGCCTAGTGTTTTTCCAAAACCCTGCATTTTTTTGTGGACTTTGCCAGGGTTTTGGGAACTTTTTAGATAGGGTGGGGTACCCACTTTTGGTTATATAACCTAGCTTTTATGAGACCAAAGAACCAAAAACCCAAAATTTGAAAAGGGTGAACAACCAGGATTTTTTTTTCCCCGGGGGTTTACGCAGGGAAGCACAAAAAAACAAACCCAGAAAAAAAAGGTACATTTTATTTCCCCTTTTGGGGGTTTATTTGGCCATTTAAAAAGGATATAAAAAATTTTTTCCAAAAGTTTTTGTAAAAAAAAAAAAATTTTATGAGGTAGGGGGTGGCCCAAACCCCCCCCAAAGTAAAAGGGTTTTTAAAAGCGGTTTCAAACCTTTTTTTCCCCCCACCCCCTTTTTGGGCAAACATATTTTTTTTGGGGCACCATTTTCATTAAAGTGGGTTTTTAAAACTTAAAAACAAAAAAAAAAAAATTAAAACCTTTTTGTTTTCATTGTTTTTAATGTGATGAAGAACAGTTTTTTTTTTTTATTTTTCAAAAATTTAAAATTTTCTTATATATATTTTTTTAATTAAAAATAATATGGGAAATTTTTAAATTTTTTTTACCCAGATCATTTGGGGGCCCGAAAGTTTTTTTTCCGTACTGTTTTTACCTTTTAGGGAAAGCACCCAAACCATGCCCAAAACATTTTTTCTGAATAACCTGATCCAGAAATCTTTTGGCTTCTTAAGGATTTATGTTTAAACTGGGTCTTTCTGATCCCCAAGAAAATTTTTAAAAAAAAACATTTATTTTTGGCACCCCTGGTTACACCCAAACAGCACCCCCTGGGGGCGCAGAATTTAAAAATTTTAAAAAAACCGCTGGGTTTTGAATTAAATTGTTTAAAGAAGGGGCCCCAAAATCCCCGAGAAGGGGAGGATTTCCCCATAACTGCTCCAAAAACTATGCCCCGTGGGGAAAAACCCCCCAATTGTCCTTTTATTTTTCTTCAAAACTTGTTTAGTTCCCCCCAGGAAAGAAACCCTTTCAGGCACAAAGTAAAACATGGAAGGGAGATGTGCCAACACTAAAAAGGGCCCACCAAAATTACCGCTCCTGTTGGGACAAATGGTAGTCAAAAGCAGGGTTGCACCATATAAAACATATGCAATAATAAATAAAAGCGGGGTGAAAAAATATGACATTTTAACCCCCCAGTGGGGTTCTGCTTTGTGATTTTCCCTTTTTAAAAAATTATGGTTTCAGTTGTTTAATTTTCACTGTTGGGCAGAAAAAAGATTTAAAAATTATGAGTCAAACAATGTTAAAATTGAAGTAGTTTTGGGGCAGAAAAAAAACCTGATGAAAAAAAAAGGGAAAATTTTTCTACCTTGTTTTGTGATGCAATTAATTAAAAATGCTGAGATGGGGGAAAACTTTCCGTCCCCCAAAAGGGGCCTAGCAAACCCAAAGGGGGTTTTAAAGGGGAGAAAATAAAAAAATGGGGTTTTTCATTCCCGAGGGGCCAAATATACCAAAATTTTTTAAGGGAAACAAATAGGGTTTTCAAAGAGGTTTTTCAGTCCCTTTTTTCCCCCCCAACTAAAAAAATTAAAAAATTCAGAACAAGGTTTCATTTTTTTACACTGAAATTTTAAAGGAGAGGCTTTGGCCCCCGGCCCCGTTCCCATTTGGGGAGAAAACGCTTTCCAAAATCAGGCGGGGAAAAAAATTTTCGGCGGGGCCTACGGGGCCCCAAGGGGTAAAAATAAAATTTTTACCTTGGCCTTCTTTTTTGGGGAATGGGTACCAAAAAAGTTTTTAAAAAAAATTTTTCCTGGGAGTAAATTGGGGGGAACGGTTTTGGCTTGTTAGCTTTTTGGAGTTTTGCCGTTTTTTTAAAAGGCGACACAAGGGGGGGAAAAAAAAGTTTTTGTTTTTCCCTTTTTGGGAAAAGCGAAAAAATTTATGTTTTTTTTTATTTTTTAAAACCAAAAGGGAATGGGGGCCGGGTTAATTCCCGGAATTTTTAAAGTTACCTTTTTTTTTTTTTTTAAAAATTTACTTGAAAAAAATAAAAACCCAGCCAAAAAGTTTTTAAGGTTTTTCCCCTTTTTGGGGAAAAAAAAGCTTAAAATGAAATTTGGTGTTACCCGGAAAAAAGGGCCGGGGTGAGTGTGGGTTTGAATTTATAACCAAAAAATTGGGGTGTTCTAAAAAAAAATTTTGGGAAATTAAAAACTTCTAAAAAACCCCAAAAAAGAATTTTTTTGACACGAAAAGGGAGGGTCCTTGTAAAAACATCCCCCGGGCTCCCGGGGTTAACAGGATTTTATTGGCCAATTTTCCCTTTTAAGGGCCCCCCCCCAAAGGTTTTGGAAACCCAAATTTTTTTCCTTTTGGGAAAAGGGGGGCCCAAAAAAAAATTACAACAGGTTGGCCCCCCACAATTGGTTTGTTTTTTATTCTCATTTATTAAAAAATTATAAAAGGCCCAAATTTTTGTCTCACCGGGGTTTTAAATTATATTTTTTTTTTTTCCCGTTTGCTTTTTCCCCGGTTTTAAATTAGATTCAAAACAAACTTTACCTTTTTTCAAAGGGTTGGGAAATCTTGGACATATTTTCCCGGGGTCCCTAAGAATCCCCAAAAAGGGCCCCAATTTTTCAAAATTTAAAAACCAAACCCGCCTTTTCTACCTTTTTTTAAGAATATTTTAGGTTTTTTTCCTTTGTTAAAAAGGATCCCTTTTTTTTTTCTTTTTTCAAGGGGAATTTGAAAGTTATTGTAAACCGGGCTTTAGATTTGAGAAAGGGTGAAAGGGGTTTACCAAAAAAAAAAATAGGAAAATTAAAAGATAAAAAAAAAAAGCCCAAAACATAACCCTTTAAAATAACACAAAAAACAGCAAAAACAAAAGCCTTTAAAATTTATCCCCATGGCCAAAAACCCAAAGGCAAAAAAAACCCCCCCCCCCCCCCCAAAAAAGAAAGGAAGTAAAAAAGAACCCCAAAAAAAAAGGGACCCAAGGGAAAAATGGAAAGATTTTTTAACAGAAAAACTCTACCAAAAGGAAATTAATTTCCCGGTTGGGTTTCCCCAAAAATTGGTTCCCAAAAAGGGAGTAAAAAACAAAACTTATAAAAAACTCTTCAAACAAAACCCAAACCATTAAAAAAAAACCCAAGTGGGGGAAAAAGAAAACAAAAGGGGATTTCCAAAAGTAATGGCCCCCGGGTTAAAAAATTTTCCCCTCATTAAACTTAAAAAAAAATTTTTTATGGGGAATTTTAAAAAATTAAAAAAGTCCCGGGGAAACTTTTAAGGGGTCCCTTTGAAATTTATAATATTTAAAATAAATTTCTTACCTATTTCCCTTTTAAAAAAAAAAGTAAACATAAAACAATGGGATTTTTTCTTCACGGAGGGCATTTCCCTTTTTAAAGAAAAATAAAATTGCTAAATCCATCTTTTAAATTTTGGAGCTTTTAACCCCTCTGAAACCCAAAAACCCGGGCAACCCATTTTTTGCAAATTCCCCTATAAGCAACAAAATTTTTGGGAATTTCCCCCAATTTTTTTTGTTTTTTAAAAATAAATTTAAAGAAAATTTACCCTTTTTAAAGCAAAATTGTTTATCCCTTCTATTTTATTTTTTAGTGCAAAACCGGTTTTTTAAAAAAGTTTTTTTTTTCGCTTTTTTAAAAAACAAAAGTTTTTTTTTATTTGGGGGTTTTTAAAAAAAATATTGGAACCCCCTTTTTTTTAAAATATTTTTAAAGCCGGGGCATAAAATGGTTTCTATCTTTTATTAATTTACCCTTGGAGGACAAGGGGGGGGAAAAATTACCCTTTTGGGAATTTTTCCCTGAAAGGGGGATATTTAAATTGTAGTTAAAGGTTTAAAATCAAAAGAAAGACTTCGCCCCGGTTTTAACCCCAAAAGGCTGGGGTTTTCCGCAGAAATGGTAAGGCAGCCTACCTAGAGTGCTGTACAGAGCACAAACTCCATAGCTCCAGTGATGATCCCATGAACCAAAAACCAAAACCAAAAGTGGATAAAACACCAGAACTTTCACAGAGTTAACAGCAAGGGGAAATACTAAGAAGAAGAAGGAATATTATATCACTGCTGACATCTAGTTGCGGGCATCAAACCCCTACACCCCCGCCCCACCCCCCTTCCTTACCCACCCGTCTACCCCCGCAAAAGCAGTATAATACACAGACAGTAATTGGCAGTTGGCTGGCATCTGCTGAGAGTCTTTTATACAGCTTTGGCAACGCCTACTTAATAATTAGGTCATTAGGCCCTGATATAGGTTAGCAGTTGTATTTTACGAATTTCTGATAGCATAAACTCAACAAATTCCTGGGTTATCGTACATAGACGACGGGTTTTGCCATTGGGATGGCCTAGTAGGACGCCTTCGTTCATCTAGCAGCTGGACAGTATTTGGGTATGTCTCTCTTGATGCATCAACCACTGCAAAGAGTCCTTGTCAGGGCTACCTGGTGGCAAGCAGGCTAAGCCATGTTTTATTATAGCGCACATAAACCTCAAGTACCGTATCACCACGAGCTTTTCCCCTTTGGGGACTTTGCCCGTCTCCCCAGTCAAATGGTCATCTTAAGGAGGTTCTCGTGTGCGTGAAGTTGTGTTGCATCATCTGTCTTGCCCCTGTGCTGGTTCCCCCGCTGTTACAGAGCAGCCATGCTGCGTCCACATGCAACTTCTCCCCCCCCTTGGGCCCAATCTCCTGGAGCTGCCCCGGGCTCCTCCCCTGGCGCTCAGCCCGCAGAAGTCATCGTGCAGAGAGAGAGAGATCTCGAGAGCGAGATGCGACTCGAGAGGAGTGCAGAGAGGGGAGAGAGAGAGAGCGACGCGAGGAGAGAGAGATGCGAGCTGCGAGAGACAGGAGAGACCCCCCCAAAATGAGGTCCCCCCCAGTCCAAATTGATCCTCTCTTGCCTTTAACTCACCACTACCTCAGGACTTTCGCAACCCTTATTTTCACGTGTGACCCCTAGTTTTTTACTCGGGCTTTTTTTTTTTTCCCCTCCCGCCCCTTACGATATCTGTATACATTGAGATGAGGAAAGATGAATATAGCAAGGCAGTGTGAGGCAAGGACAATTGTAATATTTGTACATACTTTTTATATTTCAGGTTTGCGCCGCTCAAGTTAGGACTTATTGGCTACTTTTTGAACCACGGCTTTATGCTGCTATGTGTTGCCATCTCTAAACTCCGAACTGGAATCCATGCCTGTGTTGAGCTATTTTTTTTTGTAATTACACGAAACAAAAAATGTGTCTAGCTTACTTGATCGACTCTGCAATCAAGATGGATTGTTTTTGTTTGTTTTCAAAACTGGAAATTAGCTCAGTTTGACATAGATTTAAAAAAATGATACCAGGTAAATGTCCTGAGGAAGCAACAAAAAAGCAAAGGTTCGTGGCAGGGACCACAGCTACCGTACAGTTACCTGTTTGTTTTGGGGTTTTGAAAATTTGGCTCGCACAAAATAACTATAAGTCTAGGCATCCTATGCCGCATGAACCACAAGGTGCGAACCAAAATAAAGTCCGTTAATTACTTAAGTTGGTCATCACACACCATACAGAAGTTTGATTGGGAAAACAATGTGCGAGATACATTTTTAATCAACTGGACAAGCTCTTCCTTACAATTGTGGGAGCGCGTTCTGTGGGGATAGTTAGGGGGTAAGGGGGGGGGGGAGTAAGTAGCCTGACTTATTTAAGTGCGTAATATGAATAACTATAAAGGTAAATAAATATGTATAGTACTAGAAGTTATATGAAAATGTGTCAGACGATATTTAAAAAGAGATTTATTCCATTATTCTGTTGCGTGAGGGCGGCATCAGATTGCTATGGACCTACAATTCAATTGAACGCTCTCTCGTGTTGGGTTGTAATGTATTTGATGTATGACTGTATTCTTGATTCCTGGACATATTTTCAAATAGGCAAGTGTGGGACGTTGTGGAGAAAAATTTCACAGACTTGCAGTGACAATCATAAGGCACGTTCTGGTGGCTTAGAAAAAAAAAATGCCTTAGTTTTTAATATTCTGTACTGAATATTTCATTAATTCTAGCAGTAATAGTCGATAATTTGAATTTCTCTATGTTAACTGGATACGACACACATTGCAGAATTTATATGGATAGAGACAAAGAGGAGAGCACCATTCCATGGAATTTACCCCCAAATTCAGGGGTCGGATGTATTGGGTGCGACAATTGGTGAATCCCCTTTTATGAGCCTATAGTCTCTGCTTCAGGTGAAGATGTAGTTTTTGTGTGTGGGTGTTGTTTTGTTTTTGTTTGTTTTTGTATTTACTAAATACTTTGTTCTTGTCAGCGTCATCACTCAGCATGTCAGTTAGCAGAAAGAAATTTCGCTCTAATTCAGGGCTACCTGAAAATCTCTCTTCTGTAGCCAATTCTCCACGCCATGCGTGCTGTCTATTCTGTTTAGAGTTTCTAGGGAATATGTACTCGTGATTAGTCTCACCCTTGCTTTACACCACCACATGGCCCAGCACCTTCTTCTTTCTTTAAAGTCCATGCGTGTGCGTGTGTGGCGAGTCTGGTTCTATATCACAACAAGATTAAAATATAATGTGCAAAAGGACTAAAAGAGTTTTATACTGTACTTTCAATCACTCTGGGACCAGACGATCCTACATGGCATGATGTCAGACCCGGTACAGCATCTTTCCTCTTGGTCATCCCTTTGCCTCTCTCTTCCTACCCAACTTTCTACTGTCACCGATGATACTCTCGTTTCTCCTTGCTCATCACATGATCAGAGAAATGTTGATTGTCTCTTTCTGATGTTAGGTATTATGCACCTTAACCTTCAGGAACTTTTTAGATTGCCAGGGTATGTGACGTTACCTGCTTCTGCCACTGGCTAAGTAGCAGATAGAACTGCAGAGTTTGTATCAATTATCCCAGCCTATAATGTTTTATTCTTTTTACTTTATTTTTTAAACAAACATTATTACTGCTGTATGTGCTACAATTGTTAGCCTGTATGTCGATGAAGGAGTCTTGTAGCTCAAGGAGGTTAAGGCTGCATTCTGGTGCTGTTTACTAGGAATCTTGTTATTGAGTAGGACATTTATTTGGACAGTTGACAAAAAAAAACAAGCCTCCCATCACCTTATCAAGATGTCAAACCCGGGCTTTCTTGCATGAGAGTCCAGTGTTCTGAGTATTTGGCCTGCAGGTCCTTTCTTGCACTTTATAAAATATGTTTTTTCTCTCAGGCCCATTTGAATGGTTCACTGTGATGTAATAGATCAAGTGGATGTAACACTAGAGCAGTGATTCCCAAACTGTGCGCAGCAATGCCCCGGGGAGCCGCGACCTCTTTACAGTGGTGCCACTAAATATTGTAAAAACTTCATAATTAATCTAAAACAAGATACGAATAGTCTTAATGTTACTTACGTTGCAGTGGAAATATTTTACTTGAAAAAAGAAGCAGCCACCAAGAAGAATTTTGGGAAACACTGCACCAGAGACAAAAGGAATTACAGTAACAGATCATTTTACTTGTTTAGTTAACAATTTTGATAGTCAAGGATATACAAAGATAGAAACTATAGAGAAGGCATTAGCAGCTTTTAAAAGCTTGTGTAGTTTTAAAATAAGGTTATATATTTTCAATTCTAATGCTTTTTAAGTTGTAATATTTGCCAGTGAAAGTTGGAGAACTACTAAAAACAAGGAATGAAAGTTAAATGCATTGATAAGAAAATGCCTGAGGAACAATGCTAAATAAAGGATAGATTGAATTCGAGACGGTGTGAAGAAAATAGAGAATGTATTCGCAACAATTGTAACAACAGTTTATAAGATAAAGAAGACACCATATTGGACATATACTGAAAGAAACGACAGAGAATGACCAGACAGGCATTACAATGGGCATCAGCTGGGTCGATAGATCTATTGATGCCAAAAATAACCTTGAAGAATATGGAGAGAGGCCAAAGGTGCTGGACTGAATTCTCGTAATTGGGGGGGGGGGGGGCTGCATGTCCCAAGGCATGGTTTCCACCTGAGTGCTAGAGGTACTGGGTCACTAGAATGTAAGGGCTGGTTTCTTTGTGTTTGTGTGTGTGTGTGGATTGGACTTCAGTGATCCCCTTGGTCTCTGGGTAGTGAGATCAGACGCCCGGGCATTGTTGTGCAAGTTAAAAAAATTTTGGCAAATGGCTATAGAAAAAGAGCAAGCCTTAACGGCGCGCTGGGCAAAATTTGGAGTTGAAAATCTACTCAAAGTATTTCAGGATCCTCGCCAATGCTACAGAGCTTATGTACTGTGCTGAGCTTCTTTGGACTCAGACAGAAGAAGAAAGGAGCACTTATAGGTTACTACCCCTGTGCCATCATGTTGATCCATGGTTCAAACCTCAAACCTGTTTAAAATTGTAAATCTAAACAAGTGAAAGTTAAAGATAGCACCATAACAGATACTACTTCTTCTTCTGCCTTTCTAACCCCCAATGGAACATTGGCCTTCAACCAATTCACGCCAAGTCATTCTATCCTTCGCTATTGCATGCAGCTCTCCCCATGTCCTCCCCCTCTTTTTAACTTCACTCTCTAGTTCCCTTCTCCATGTGTATTTTTCTGCCCCTGTGGGTTCAGGTGCAAAGAGATTCTAGTTATATTGTTCTTAGGTTTTCTCAATGTGTGTCATATCCAATGCCAGCATCTTTTTATTTGCTTAATGTATTAGCCCACGGGAACTTGTTTAATACTTACTAAAGCTATACATAGTGATCTACTATACCATTTAATTCCCTCTATTCTAGGCAGGCGCCAGTTAATGAATGTTTGTAGTTGATCAATAGGTACTGCTGTTGATCTGTTAAATTCTAGGCCCTCACATATTCTGGCCCATGATATGTGGTAGGGTGACTAGTTGGCTCCTATGTCTAATCTTTGGCAGCAAAATTTTAGAAAATGATCTGGCAAGCACAATTTAGCTGCACTGGCTACAACGTCAGAGCAACTGGTGAAACAAATTCTCCACTTCACAGCCAGAAAACCCCCCCCCCAAATGGCTGAAAACTCAGACCACGGCTGGCAGGCAGCACACTCACTACAGGGACAGCATCTTGTCCACATCTTGGAGACAAAAAAAGCATGAGAATGTCTATGGTGCAGTGACAAACACTGTTTAAAATAACAGGTTGCAGAGAATATAATTGATATAAGTCGTCTGCCAAGGAATATAATTGATAGGACGTCTGGTGAGATTATAGTTGACAGGACTGTATCGGAGAGTTGTAGTGATATTTGCCGGCCGCAGATGGTCGGAGATCTATACTCATTTGTCATGAGCAGAGCATATGACAGAATTTTACCAGTATACTTGTAGAATATGAAGATGTGCTATTACATCCTTGTCTACATCCCAACATTATCCGAATGGTGGCACTTTGTGTCACCGAGTGTTTGTCGCTCGGTGTGATGTCCTGGTGGGGTTGAACATCAATCAATCATACCATACATGGTAAACCCACCTGGATTGGACTGCAGGGAACTTCCTAACTGTAGGGTTCCCTAATATTACTATATTGCTATACAGTTGAACAAGGCTTACTGTGGGTTTGGTCCCATTTGATTCTCATCCTACAGACTGCAATCCCAGAGGGAAACACGAAAATAAAATAAAATGCCAACTGCTCTACAATAAAAAGAGTTTTTATTTCTTAAATAAAAAACAAAAACAACAAATCAACTCTTAAAGGCCAGGTGATCAGAATTTGCGTAGAATACTTAAATCTTGAACAAAATACTTTTTTTGTTTTTTAAAGACTTTATGTACAGACATTAAGATCACATCATCATCATTGTGTGCTGACTGGAATCATAGTAGTCAGTAGACTTGCTTACATTGGCAGTAGTTTAGATTCAAACCCCCATTAGTGGCCTTATTCCCCCCCCCACCCCCCCCCACCCCACCCTCCCCCACAAACATTGTTGACTCAACCCTATAAAATGTGTTAAATAAAAGAATGTTGTGGCAGTCAAGAGGGAGAGACTCCACTGAAACAGCTAATGAGTGGCTGGTCAAGCAGGTAAGAGTGCTACGTTCTCATTTAGGAGACCCATATTTAAATTTTCAGTAAGGTGATGGATAGTTTTCCATCAGGGACATAAACCACAATCCTAACCTGCACAGAACCTGAAAATGGCTCCAGTCATGCAGCCCTATATCCTCAGGGTCACTACACCCCTGTCTTGTATTGTGATGACCCTGCTTTGCATGGTCTCCACGAGTACATTGTGGCAAGCAGGAAGTCTGTGCTACAAGTGACGGCACGAGATACTTGTGGCCGGTGGAGTAAGCGAGGCGAAGCCCGAGCTAGCCTCGTGGTCAGTCGATCATGAGAAGTCAGAGAAGACGGTTGTAGTATTTGAAGATGTCGTCTTTATGTCGGGCAAATGGTTAATGTTTGAATATGTCGCGAGTGATAGAAGTGCGAATAATGTTTGAATATATGAAATAAATGGACCAGAATAAACTGACAGAATGTACAAGAAGCTGAGCGGCGTTTGTGTTGTCAACCCTAGATGTTAAAGTTGGTGTAAACCAAGGTTCATTCCAAGTCTACGGTTTGGTTCATTCCAAGTTGAAGCATCGCTTCATTCCAAGTAGACAACGATTCATTATAAGTGAAGTCACGAATATTACAGGTATCATGCCAGGAAGTGGTTAATACAGGTAGTAAAGACACATAGGAGAGAAAGTTGAGAAGAAAGAAAACTGATTACTTCCACCTCACTGAGTTGTGATCCGTGTGGTTAGGTGAAGGGCAGAACACTACACCCCAACAGCTGTGTCTGCAGGCATATAGAAATTCATCAATGAATGTCATCATCATCAAGTAGCAGGTCCTTTGCAGAACGTCGCTCTCATCACAGTCTGCCTGAAAGAAACTCGGTCTCTCGCCAGTTTTCCCGCCTCCTGCACTTTCACACTCAAGGAGTCACCTATATCCTGTGTCCATCTTCGTGTCGGTCGGCCCCTGCCCCTCCTTCCTGGTACCATGTCTTCTGCTAAAAAAAATTTTATTTAGTCGGGGCGCTTGATATGACCAAAATATTTCAGCTTTCGAGAAAGGATTAACTCATCAGCGAATGTAAGTCCAGTATAATGATGCCTGCCGGTCATTCCAGCAAGTGTAGGAGTGGGGCAGGAGGCCTTCAGTGGCTGCACTCAATGCTAGGGTCACCTTTCAGTGGGCCTGGCCCGGTCATGAACAGTCTTTCACAGAAGCCGTGCTGGTTTGAAACTTTAAACGCCACTCATACACTTGCTGGACTGACAGGCATGCATCACCATACTGGACCTTCATTTGCTGATGAATTTCTATAGGTTTCACTCCTTTACTGATTGAAAAAAAAAAATAGATAACAGAAAACTGCTTCTCTTTGATGCATGTCAAAAGTGGGGTAGCCATCTTTAAATCTCGTTATAATATCACCATATTAGCCTGCACCGCAATGTCTTCTGCTTAACACTCTTGGTATTCTTAATAACAATACTGACAGGTAACAAGACACAGGCATGGTTATTGAAACTTCACACTTAATACTTTCATTTGAATCATCTTGTCTCATGCAGTCATTTTTTTTCTTTTTAACGAATGAGCTACAGTACATACTAAATTAGAATTGTGTCTTGCAGGCCTGCAGGTTCCTATTCTGACATCTGATCCAGTTACTAAAGAACTACTGATAAACTTTGACCCATATGTGTTTGAGGTAATCAAGGAGGCACAGTACATGGTGAAACTGGGGTTGCAGGTGCCACGCAATGTAATCCAACTGATTCATTCTTGTGCCAATGTTGTGAATATATATCGCCGTGTACAGGTAGGATTTTCATGAAACTTTGTTTTGTCATCACAATCATTTGCTTCTTCTACCATTTGTATATCATTGGAGCATATGCTATTAATCAGTGCTTTTTCTTCTTTGTTCTCCGAAGATGTGAATGTGTTGTGCTAATTTACAGTACGGCTGCGATATTCTTTACTTTCATTCGGCCGACACATCAGTCTTTTGCAGGCTTTTGATGCCCAATGCTTTTTCATCTTTGAATTTTCATCCACTCTTATCAGAGTGTTAGGAGAAGAAATAAGAATTTGATATTTGCTTTTTCTAATGTGAGAAACAAAGAAACTACAAGAACTATTCTAACACCTATAAATAAATTCATTGAAAAACAAAGACTGAAATGGTTTGGCCATTTAATTAGATTGAATCCAATTTTGCCGGCAAGGAGGGCATACAATGTGAAAGTAGAAACACCAAGAGGTAGGGAACAACCAAGAAGAGGATGGTTTAAAGATTTCACTGACACCTTGAGACTCTACAACATGACAAAAAGTCTGGCAACCGAGCATGCTCTAGCTCGGAAACTAATCATCTGTTAACCTGCGATGTCTAATGGCACAAAGCAGAAAATGGACAAAAGAAAGAAGAAAAGAAATTGTTTTATAAGTTAATCTCTATTTCTTTAAGCCTGCTCCTGATGTTGTTGTTCTATCATGTGTGTGGTCTTCCCTTGTGGCTGTGTGTTCATTATATTTCTCATGTTAAAGCTTTCGCCAGGATGACTTTGAATAAACAAGGTCGAGGACGTATCTCAGGAATCACAAGTATTCCTGGGGAAAAAAAAAAAAGCATTTTACACAGTTCACAAGAAAAATACTAAAAGTTCCAATTATAGACTGAAGCAATATTAATTTCAGTACACAGCAAGAGGAGTATTTAATAAGCATGAATGCAGCAGAAAATTAACTGATTTACTTTTCTTTGACCATTAAAACTGTTTATACAGGGACACATACTTGATTTTCTAACCTGGTTAGCTGGGAAGCATTGTGACTAATGCAGAACTATTACATCATAATTTCTGTTTTACAAAAAAAATTTGTTCACAAGGAAAGACTGCTATTTAAAAAAAAATTAAATATCAATTCCATCCCTCCTAAGTGTTTGCTCAGTGCATACACTATCAATGTTTGTAGCTGTACTTCTTGTTAACACATCACTATAACATGTTAGGTAGCTATACTTCTTGTGAACACATCTCTATAACATGTCAGTTAAGCAACTTTTACTAGGAATCGGACCCAGCTAAAGTGTTGGTTTTGTGGCTTCTTGAGGTGACAGGGTTTAAAACAAATCAGTCAGTGCATGCTTGCAAGACTGACCTATCCTGTGCCTCTCCTGCAGCTCCCTCCAGGCCCTCCCCATCTTATTCATTTCTGGTTTGAATTATTTTTTCCACATATTTCTACGTCTCCTTCTATCTCTGAAGCCCTATGGGATGTAGGGAAAGGACATTCTGTTTACATTGTCATTATTTTTTCCCACTTAGTGTCATATAATGCCATTCTTTTCCTAATTCTCTATTTTATAGATTTTTGTTTACTTTTCTGGCTCAGCTTATTGGTAATTTTGTTCTTCTTTATTATGAATATCAGAATGCTCATTAAGCAGTTTTCATGAACTAGACAGGAAGTTTGTACAAAATGTCTCCGTATTACAGTCATAATGATGACAATGTATCTTCTTTCCAGCTGTTAGTGATATATGGTGTTATGGGGAGACATGGGAATAGCCATGGTGATGGAGAGTGTGACTAGCAAGACCTATTTGTGCTAAGAAAAGTGCTTTATTAATATCCTACCCCAAACAGGGGAAAACCACAGGTCACAGGACAGTCTAATATTTCAGGGGGTGGTAGATAGGCTGCATGCAGTCGTGGGACCTAGGCTGCACTCTCTCGTGGGATGTGGGTGGGTTGAGGTTAGGGCCAGTTCTAGATGTTTTAGGGTCATTAAAAGCATCAGAAAACCGGGAAACGCAGTCTCAACACCCTCTAAAATGTTGAACTGTCATGTGACGTTATCTGGGTAAGATATTAATAAAGCACCATTATTTATTTTGGGTCATATTATGAAAAGGAAACTTTAACAAGTTGTGACCACTGGAAAGATTGTGCAAAAAAGAGACAGAGAAAAACAATGCAAGAAGATTGTGACAGTCTCATGTCATGGCATGATACATGCTGTTAAGATCACAGATTGTGGAGAGGCATGATCACCCAGGTGGCAAGGCATTATTTTCTTCTTCTTCTTCATGGTTTCTGATTGTAAACTTTGACGGAAGGTTCTGGTTGTTTGTCCACTTCTGGACTGCAGTCCTATTTTAGAACCTGAGTTTTGCATGTGCATTTGTTTGACAGATATGACTCATTCATGTGCAGACTGTTGATTCCTCGCCTCTCGGTCAGATGCACTCCGACTTCAAAGGAAGCTCCCAATTATTCGACTCTTACGACATGCTTTTGGGTAGGCAGTGGGTCTATTCTTGTTTTCCTTATAACAGGACCCCAGAACCCACACGGGGAGTAAGGCATTTGATGATGTTGAGAGTGGACCAGTTTACTAAGACAAGAGATTTAATTAGACAGAATACATTTCCATCAAAACTGAATGCTTCTTTTCCAAACTCTGAATGCTTCTTTTCCAAACTACTATTTCAGATGATGCTGATGGATTACAAATCATTGAAGGCTTCTATTCCTGATGTATTTGTACCTCTTATGCAGCCACATATATTTAGAGTATGTGAATTTCATGTGTAAAGATTGTGTGGTAAATTGTCGTTAACAAATACAGTAACAGTTCGCTAACATAACCTATCTTTTAAGATTTACTCTAGATTAATGTGAACACAATTTTAGCACCATCAGACATTTAATAATTTGAGTCTCTAGGTAGCACACACTTTTTTTTTAAACACAAACTCTTGATTGTTATTATTTTTATTTCTTTTGGTCACTTGGAATTTATGTGAACAAGATTTTACTGTATCAGTATTATTTGGTTATACACTAAAGGTTAGTTTAAACATGCAGAAGTTACTCAATATCAGTCCTATATGCTTTTGAAAAATGATCTTTTTCCTTCAAGGTATCTGGGGCCTAATTGGGAAGGGGGCAGGGAGAAATGGGGGTGGGGGAGGGGAATGCCGGGAGCCCTGAATATCGCCGGGGCAAAGATATGACCTAGCCATAGATATGGCCCAACCGCTGAAAGGGGTTTCTGGGACCTTTCCATGGGTGATTCTCATCTGCATGCTGGCACTTTGTGTGTTTCTTAGGTGGAAGTGTTGGGCTAAAAAATGCAGATATCACAACCCAGCTATAGACCACAACACAGCATGTCAGCAGCCCTTTAATGTCAAAAACAGAAAGAAAACAATGCCATAGGTAACTTTCAGAATTGTCAGAAAATAGTAAGAAAAAAGTTTTCAGAGAAACTGGGCATCCCCAACTTTATTATGACTTATCCTAGTATATATATATATATATATATATACTAGGATAAGTCATAATAAAGTGAATATATATATCTGTGTGTGTGTGCACGTGCGTGTGTGTGTGTTTTTTTTTAAATTTTTCTTTTATACAATTCTATTAGTGGAAAAAAAAATAGGAGTATAAATAAGGGTTGTTTTATCATGTCTTGGGGCATATTGGGTCCGATTCCGATTTGATAAACAAAAATTCCAAACTTGATCTTTTTTTTCAGCCGCCCGAAGGCCTGCTATATGAAGGAAGGTTCCTTGGCTATTTTATTTGGTGTCCTTTTTATTGTGTGTGGTGTGAAGTCACACCTGATATTCCTTTTCTTTGTCTTCCTAAGTCCTAAGTCTGGTGTGAAATTTGGAATTCAGGGTCCTGGTCTGGTCCGGCTTTCTCTAACTCCTGTCTCTGTGGCTTTTTGCTGACCGTTGCCTGTGCTTGGTTTAACCCATGCTGGTCGCTGCACTGGTGCCCTATTGCCAGGCTGGGTCACCGCTCTGTGAGGCCGCGGGGGAAAAAGCCAAACAAATACCACAAACCACCATCTCCATACAATGTTCCTTTTCAGGACAACCAAGGCCATCATAATCTGTTCTTGTGATCAGCCGGGTTTTTTATTTTTCACAGAGAGTGGAGAAGTAGTGGAAATAAGATGGGTTGCAAAAAAAAAGAGCTGATTGCTCGAAGGTGCCAAGAGATTTTATAGTGAGGTCGGAAGAGTGAGAGTGACAGAAAGCTTGAAACAGATGGGTTCCAGACGCTTGTGCTTCTGGTGGCATAAGAGAGACTGGAATCCCCAAATGCTGGTCCCCTTTGGTGCAATGCCCTCAGCTATCTGCTTCAGAGCGATGGGTGGCCTTTTATGGTTTCCGTTGTCTTCATCTTCCTGAAAATATACTAAGTTAAGATTTTTTGTTAGCTCGATAGGAGTTAATTTTGGTCATTTCCATCGTTGTTGGTCACCTATGGGGCAGAGACAGTGGATGTATTTATCATGCTAGCCTAAAATATTTGTAAGCCAGTTGGCACTTGATGGATATTGATAGTTTTAATTGCAGTCAATTTTACTTTTAAAATTTCCTGGCACTCACTCAAAGTGGCCAGAGTGATATTTGATACAAAAGGCGCACAGTGAAGGGAACTTAAAACTTGCTACAGCAAGACAGAGACTAAACAAGGAATTCCAGAGAAATTAGACTAAAAAGCTCAACAAAATGGGGAAGCAGAAAAACGGGCACAAAACAACACAACATAACGTTTCGAGACTAAACAGCATGAAGAACCTATGGTACAGCGACTGCAGGAGAGTTAAAGTAAAAGTGTTGAGATCATGTATCTCCCTCCTGTGGCAGCTGATGGATGTGAATCATGGGCTTTTAACAGGTTTTTGAAGAAACAAATCGGAGCCTTGAACTGAAATACTACAGAAAATTTCTTCAGAATACCTTATACCAAAAATAAGTGAAATGCTAATATCCTGATCATCCTGTTAATGACCTGAACATCGGGGAGAATTGTCTGTTTAATAGATTCCTGTCCCCAAAGCTGAGGTATTGTGAGACTTTCATGTGTGCCCTGAAGACAGCAACATTCTGTAAAAGAACTGCTGACTGATTGACTGAAGGGAACCAAAGAGGGAAGTTAAAACAAAAGGGAGGGCGCTGGGTGAGCTGCTTGCAATAGCTAAGAATAGGACAACTTGGTTTGAGCTGTTTGAGGGTCTATGCTCCACTGGGGGATAAACATCTGAAGAATAATGAAGAAGAAGAAGAAGAAGTGTGATATTTGCCAAATGACTCATCAACTGTTGATTGGTGTTTAAACATATGAGGCTATGAAAATGCTCACTACACTTCATAATGGAAATGATACCTTTACTGTCTGCTTAAGTAGGCTTTCTCACTGCCAGAACTGCCTGTGTTTACCACTTTTGCAATGTAGGCAGAGTGATTTCTGAACCTGAGGTTTTTAAGGCTGCATGGCTAGTGCTGCCACCACAGACTCTGCAAGTCAGGATTTTGTTTTTGCCCCCAACAGAAAAAATTCACAAGTTATTGAGGATTGAAACCTGGGTCTCCCGCATAGAGCCCCACCTCCTTAACCAATCGGCCAGTTGCTCCTCCCTTTCTCCACCAACACTGTAAATAATTAGCTCTGTAGATTACTGTGAGTTTTGTGCCGGTTAGGATTGTGTTTTGCCCCCGACAGCAAAAATTCACAAGTTTATCGAGGATTGGAACCTGGGTCTCCCGTCTTTCTCCACCGACACTGTAAATAATTAAATGTGTAGATTTCTGCAAGTTTTGTGCCATCATTTTATGTATTATTTTTCTGCATAGTTTGATGCACTTATCTTTCCAGTGTGACTATAAATAATTAGTTCCATATGTTTCTTTTTTGTTTGTTTTGATTTTGTTTAAACCATAATTTGTTAGTGTTTTTGAACATATCTTTCTCTGTCTCTCTTTTTCCATATATATATATATATACACACACACACAAATAAATGTTTTTTATTTCACTTTCTCTGTGTAGATTGACGCACTCATCTTTCCAGCATTGACCACAATAACTTGGACATCCCTGGAAGTTAATAACTACTTCAGAGAGCTAGACAAAGCTTTCCATGAATTCAGTCTCCTAATTAAAACGGTACATTGACACTGAGTTTCTATTTTTATCAGTTACAGAAATTAAGCCTGTAGTGTTCACAGGCTGATTATACAGTAGATTATTTGACAGTCAGTTATGCTATCCACAGACATCATCTTATAAGAGGCTTCAAATTAGAACCTTAAAAGTGTGATAGAAATTACAGAAACCATACCATTGTCTTGTAACCTGTCAGTATTGTTGTTAACGATGTCAAGAATATTTAGCACATGGCATCACAGTGCAGACAAACACAGTGACATTATAATGACAATTTAAAGGTGGGCGCTATAGAGTTTATGGACAGAAAATTTTGAACTAGAATTAAAAGTACTGCATGCCAGATGCTGGATTTATATTAGGAATAGAAAGAAATGGCAGCAGGCAAAGTGCTGTAAAATGCTTTTCAGTTTTGAGAAAAAGAAGAAGAGGAGGAAGAGGAAGAAGTAGAAGAAAAAGTAGAAGTAGTAGAAAAAGAAAGATGTGTGAGAACTATGATGTTAATTAGCCAATATATCCTCATTGCGCCCAGAGGCACATAAGGCAGAGATAAACTGTCGCTACTCAATTCGATCCTGAGCCATCTTTCTTATCTCCAGTTTTGTTCTTTGCGCAGCCTTTTTTAGCCTTAAAGGTTCGCCTCCAGGTGCCTCTGGGCCTGTTTCTTCCTCGCTGTCCTTGTGGTGTCTATTTCATTACCTGTCTCAGCCGTCTCTTTCTTTCTTCATTCTGAGGACGGGTCAAATCCACCTCCATCTTTGTTTTTTATTATTTCTAAATTTACATCTTCTAAGTCTGTCATTTGTTGTAATCTAGAATTGCTGATTTTACCTTTTCCTGTGAACCCCAACAATATTCTAAGAAGTCTTCCTTCAAAACTCTGAGCATGCTCTCTATCTTTCTGTCTGTTTTACAAGTTTCTGCATCGTAGCGGAAAAACTGTCCTACAGCATATTTTGTATATCCTGTTGATAATGGTGGTTTTAATTTAAGATTTAAAATTTGCAAGGGGTTTGATCCCAGAGGGCTTGTCATAAACGTCTCCAGTACTGGAGACGGTCATGGCTCCGCCTTTCTCTATAGAATGGCTAGCTGCCATAGAACTTAGCCACAGAGACTTCCAGTGTGGAAATAAATATAAATGCTTAGCCATAGAGACACCCCTATGTGAAAGTAAATATAACCGCTAGCAATGTAAAAATAAATATTACCACTTAGCCAGAGAGACCTCCTGTGTGAAAATAAATATAACCACTTAGCCATAGAAAGTTCCAGTGGGGAAATAAATATTGCCGCTTAGCCATAGAGACCTCCAGTATGTAAATAAATATAACCACTTAGCCATAGAGACCTCCTGTGTAGAAGTATATAAAACCTCTTAGCCATAGAAACCTCCTGTATGGAAAAAAATATAAAATGCTTAGCCATATAGACCTTCTGTGTGAAAATAAATATAACCACTTAGCCATTGAGACCTCCTGTGTGAAAATAAATATAACCACTTAGCCATGGAGACTTCTATTGTGGAAATAAATACTACAGCATAACCAAAGAGACCTGTGGGAAAGCATATATAGCCATGGAGATCCCCTGTGTGAAAATAAATATAATTGCTTAGCCATAGAGACCACTTGTGTGGAAATAAATATAATCGCTTAGCCATAGAGACCACTTGTGTGAAAATAAATATAATCCCTTAGCCATAGAGACCACTTGTGTGGGAAAAAAATATAATTGCTTAGCCATAGAGACAACTTGTGGGGAAATAAATATAATCCCTTAGCCATAGAGACCACTTGTGTGGAAATAAATATAATCCCTTAGCCATAGAGACCACTTGTGTGGAAATAAATATAATCCATTAGCCATAGAGACCACTTGTGTTGAAATAAATATAATCCCTTAGCCATAGAGACCACTTGTGTGGAAATAAATATAATCCCTTAGCCATAGAGACTGCTTGTGCGGAAATAAATTTAATTGCTTAGCCATAGAGACCGCTTGTGTGGAAATAAATATAATGGCTTAACAATAAAGACCACTTGTGTGGAAATAAATATAATTGCTTAGCCATAGAGACCACTTGTGTGAAAATAAATATAATGGCTTAACAATAAAGACCACTTGTGTGGAAATAAATATAATTGCTTAGCCATAGAGACCACTTGTGTGGAAATAAATATAATCCCTTAGCCATAGGGACCACTTGTGTGGAAATAAATATAATTGCTTAGCCATAGAGACAGCTTGTGTGGAAATAAATATAATTGCTTAGCCATGGAGACTGCTTGTGCGGAAATAAATATAATTGCTTAGCCATAGAGACCGCTTGTGTGGAAATAAATATAATGGCTTAACAATAAAGACCACTTGTGTGGAAATAAATATAATTGCTTAGCCATAGAGACCACTTGTGTGAAAATAAATATAATGGCTTAACGATAAAGACCACTTGTGTAATTGCTTAGCCATAGAGACTGCTTGTGTTTAATTAAATATAATCGCCTAATGATAAAGACCACTTGTGTTGAAATAAATGTAACCACTTAGCCATAGAAACCTCCTGTGTGGAAATGAAAACTATAAACAATTTTTTTGGTTTTGTTTCAAACTTTTTTGAGCAATGATTGTTGTGGTTGTACGTGCATCCATAAGATAATGTCAATGAACACCCGCTCATGGTAATTTCCAGGTGATTGATATCAAATACATGCGTATTGATGCCAAACTGGCCCAGATAGCAGAAACACTGCTGTGTCTGCTGCCAGGTACCAGTCCATGGACGATGGAGGAGTTCCTACACAATACAAAGGTACAGCATCACCTTTTTTTTTTTTTTGAAATCTTTGGTAACCCATTTTGTCTTTTAAAACTGCACACTTGCAACCCCAGTCTTTCATCAGAAGTGTTTGCCCCCCCCCCCCCCCCCCCCCCCCCCCCCCCCCCCCCCCCCCCCCCCCAACACACACCTCGCACCACCTCCCTTCCCCCTTCCCTCTCCTTAAGCACCCTAGATTTAGTCTGTGGGTAGTCGGTTTGTTTCTTGATATCTCGGCTCTTGATCTTTTAAGCATGGGAAACTTAGTTCATGGTTAAAGCTGTAGACCTGAATGCCAGCATGTGATCATTTGGCTTTGATTATCCAGGTAGACACAGTCAGAATGGTGATTTTCTGAACAAGATTGTGTGTGACACAAACACCACAAATTCTGAAACAAAAACTTGGTTCAGTAGTTAGAGCTGCAGACCTGATTGCTAGCATGTGATCATTTGGCTTTGATTGTCTGTCACCCAGGAAAACACAGTCAGAATCGGTGATGATCTGAACAAATTGAACAAGATGATCTGTGATACAGCATATGAGCTGCTGCGTGTGTTCATCAACAGTGCGGTGCATGAGTACAAATTGTTGGAGATAATGTATACAGAGGAACAGAGGATTGGGGATCCAGAAAGTGAGTTTTGTATTTCTCTTTATTTCAGTGAAGAGGCATGGAAGTCAGTACCATCAGGTCTGGTTCTTCCCCTGAATGAATATTTTAAAGTCTCTGAAAAATTGTCTTATCTTTCAATTGGGTTCGTTTTTTCTTAATGGTCTTTAAGGTTTTGAACAGCGGATCAATATCATGGCACACGGGTGTGACCCATAAGTGCTCCGTTCTTCTTGTAACTCAAGTCCGAGTCTGAAGAAGCTCAGCACAGTGCACAGGCTCTGTGGCACCGGCAAGGATCCTGAAATACTTTAAGTAGATTTTTAATTCCAAACTTTGCCAGGGCGGTATTGTTAGGATACTCTTTTTGATTTCCAACAGCCAAGGGACTTTTTACATGCGCAGCAATGCACACGGGCGTCCAATCTCACTACCCAGAGACCAGGGGGAGTTACTAGAAGTCCAAGTCCACGAGAAAAATCCCAGCTCTTATCGGGAATTGAACCCAGAACCTCTTGCACTCGAGGCAGACACCAGTTAATATTGAGCACAGTTTTATTTTAAGTTCATTTTCTTTTCGAGGGGAAGTCATTAAGTAAAGGCAATTGCATTAATAAGTTTTTTACAAGCAGCCGAACAAAATTGTTTTGTTTCCTTTTTCTCGACATAGTCTCCCAGCTTGCAACACATGTAGTCAACTGATCCACAAGACTGGGGATGCCCACCAGGTAGAAGCTTTTTTGGTGCGGCCAGTAACCAAGTGTCGGCTCTGTGGCTAAGTCGATGTGAATGCTTCCTAATGCCGGGATGCCGGTTTCGATCCCAGCTGTGGGCCATGCGCCTTGTGTTGGTTTCGACAGAGGTATCAAGAAAGCAGACTGTCCAGAAACCAATTGCAAACTACTGGACGTAAATTTGCCTAGAAAAACCACACAACAACCAGGTGCTGTTGAGGTTGGTTCTGCAACGTCCTGTAAAGGATACGCAACTAACCTTCAGTAACCAAGTTTGCACCACCGACATCTCCCCATTGTCCTCTGCATATTTTTGACCCTCTAAATGTTCTTTCAGTGGGCCAAACAAATGAAAGTCTGGGTTGTAATCTGGCTGTTTTAATAAACTGCAGTCTGTAGTTTATCCACTGTATGTGCAACCGTGTGTGTGGGGGAGGGGGGTATTGTCTTGCAGTAACAAAACTCTTTTTGAGAGAAGACTTCTGTATTTCGATCAGGTTGCAGGCTTCAACTTGTTCCGTGACATATCACTGTAACGAACAGCGACAGTGTTGCCTGTTTCCTGGAAATGTGTCACTATAGGGCCTTTGACATCTCAAAAAAACAAATAACACCTCATTGGTCTTTCACATGTTAAGAGTGCTGAGGCCATCTTGTACGAGCTGTTGCACACATGTGTATTGCTAAAATTTCACTGCATGTACTTTGGGTATTGCAGAGGGGCCATTTTGTGTCCTGAAATAACTTTTATCTTCTGCATACTGTTCCACATCACCCATCTTGTGCCAATTGGTCTATATAAAATATAGGTCTAGCCCTATATGCCCTATATGCCTTAAGGTGTGGAAAATGGTCCTTTACTTTACTTACATACTGTTCCATGCAGACTGTGATACAGTTGCCTTTACTTAATGATTTCTCATTGTATCTTTTCATGACACTTTATTTGAATGGAACCACTTGACTTCTCACCTGTCCTATCTTGATGGGTCACATCCTGTCTATATTTCAGTGATTTTCATCGCCATCATTATCTTCATCATCATCATCATATAGCAAGTTTTTGACAGAATACCTCTGACATCACAACTGGTGAAAGACTCTTGACCTTTTTGCTAGTTCCTCTGTTTCCTGCATATTCATACCCACTGTGCCTTTAATTTTTAGTCTACTATCATGCTGATAACCAAGAGAAGATGGAAATGGCTTGGCCAAGCTATGAGAATGAATCCTGATATGACTGTCAAAACAGCTCTCACATGGATACCAGAGGGAAAGAGAAAAAAAGGGGCACCCAAAAACAACATGGAGAGTGACCTGAATGCAGCATCTCTGACATGGAAAACTGCACTGAAGATTGCACAGGACAGGAAAGCATGGAAAGTCCTCTCTGAAGTCTGATATGCCACTAGGCATAAAGAGAACTGATGATCATCATCACCATCAGGCTCATTCACTTCAGGCATAGATGATTAGTGATGTTTGGCAGCATCAAAATTATGAAAATAAAATGGAATGAATTCAAAAGGAGAGAAGAAATCAGAGACTTATCTGGGCAACAACCAGTATCAACAATAGAGATGGTGAACACATCCTGATTAAAAACCAGCAGAGAATCACAAAACAGGCATTAAAATGGAAAATAAAGGGATTAGGAAGGCGAAGATGTCCACAAGAAAACCTGAGATGAACGTCGATGAGAAAAGTCAAAGCTGCTGGACTGGATTCCATCCATGATATTGAACTGATCCCACAGGATAGAACAGAATGGAGGAATAGACTGTGAGTCCTATGTGACATATAATGGCCCAGCAGTATAATGAATATTCAAAGGTGAGAGGACAAACTTCCTTGCACTAGCTGTTATCTCGTATGGTTTAATCTCATGGGATGTGGTATTGCCACTGTGAGCAACAGGTGGTAACAGACATAAATAAAAAAAATTGTATAAGTCAGATTTGTAAAGCAGATGTGCACACAAAACACAATTTCTGGAACAAGACTAAAGTCCAGAGGTGGACGGATAACAAGAACCTTTCACCGGAGTTTACAGCTGGGAAACATGAAGAAAATAAGAAAAGTTTTTGAAAGCTTGTTTAGAAGTGAGAGAACAAACTTCATTGCACCATGTGGCTGTTTCTCTCTCCCTGCTCCATGATCTTGCCACTTTAATGGTTGGCTATAATTGTGTGAGCAACAGATCATTACAGAACTAAATTTAAAAGTTTTAAGAAATGTTGCTTATGGGTGAGAGGATGAAATTCGTTTACCATATATTATTCTATATAGTCTAATCTCCCTTCCCATTTCTTGGTATTTTGCTGTATTAGTATGGGCAACATATGATGATGATTTTTTTTTTTTTTAATTTTTAAGCAAAGAAAAAGTGTTTAATAATAAGAAAATCAACCTGTCACTCTCTTCATGCACAGTGGCATAACAGTTAAACAGTAATGCAGTAATACTCTTACAAGCCCAAGTAACATGTAGACAACTTTGTATTTAACTCTCTCAGTACTTGAAGAAGACCATTTCGCGTTGATTTCTTCTTCTTCTTTTTTCTTCTTGGCATTCACCGGCACCCTAATATGCAACTAACAGTAACTGTGTGTGTTTACAGGCAAAAAAAGCATGCAGACCACGCACACAGTGACAGCCATCACTACACTCGCTGAGAGTGGAGAACCAGACAGGAGCCCACTGCCAGAGGACCTCATGACCCAGGAGAATTACATGACCTGTTGCCTGGCACTGTTTGAAGACTTTAAAGGCAAAATGATTGATGCTTTGGTCAAGAGTGTTAGAGCATCCCTGGCAGCTATGCGAAAACGGTTTCTTGCAGGGTATGACTCCATGATTATTAAAGCATTAAAATATTTCTACTGTTTTTTTTTTTCTTCTTCCTCACTTTCTTTTTACTGCTTTGGGTGTTGATGGAGATGGATGGTTCTGCTTCTCACTTTTAAAACTGTTGTAGAGTTTCTCGATGTTTCCATTTTATTCTTGGTCTACCTCAGGGCTCTACGTCCCTCTCCTCTATTGATATACGTCTGTTGTGATATGTCACCGAAAAGTGTTCAAAGTGGGCGTGCCATTCTATTTGCTGTCTCTGTATGTAATTTAGAATATACAGAGTGATGATAATGAAGGATTTCAATAGTTATTCTAACAATGCTGATATTTAAACATCTTCTTCTTCTCTGTACTACTGGAATACCTCACGGCATCAGGGTAGAAAGAGATCTCTGGAACAGACCCTTTTTTTACACTGTAAAGTACTTTTCAGTCTGTATGATATTTCTGAGGTCCATCTTTGCATGGTCGACCTCTGTTACCACTGTATCTGTATAACATTGCTTTCTGAGGTGCCCTGTTTGAAGATAATCTAGTTATGTGGTCAAACCATTTGATTTGTTGCGTACCTATAAAGTTCAGTATTGGTTGTGTGTTGACTCAGTTCCTGAGGTCAGTGTTGCTAAGTCGAGCTTTCCTCATTACACCTAGCATAGTAAGTAAGCATTACATTTTTGTCGTGACTAATTTTCTTCTGTCTTCTGAATAGTGTCCATGTTTGACATTTGAGCATTACAGATTTTAAAAAGACCTTTATTTTGTAGACCAGTGGTCAACATCACATTGGCCGCCTTCACTTCCCAGGTCTATACCTGGTACCCATTCAGTGCTGGGTCGTTCTGGGAGCCAATGTCATAAAAAATTAAATTTCTACTTCTTCTGGACTGAAACCATGATCTTCCAGTCTGCAGGTGAGCATCTAGCGATTTGTTAAGGTGTGCTACTCAGTCGCATAGTAGGTTTAAAAAACAATTATGTCCCCTTCCCTCTTCCAGGCTTGCAATCTGTAGGTTGATCATCTCAAGGTTGAGAATCAAATGGGTACAAATCCTAGAAACCCCATTTAACAATCTAGCCACATAGCACAGATACATTTAAACAACACAAAACGGTTATGACCTGTAGTCCTGTGTGGATGGGTGATGTTTGTTTCATTGAAACTTCTAAATATCAAACATGTAGACACAGATTACTTCATTGAAACTGTTTCAAAATAAAAAATGTCTACTCCCAGTGCAGAGTTCGTAGCATGTGTTGAGGAGGAAAGGCGACCCATTTACTCAGACATTATGTGGAATTTATACTGGTGAATTATTCACTCTAAATCTGCTCTAGAAACAATATATGAGATTAGAAAATCCATCAAAGGTAACCACAATCAGTGCTCGAGAACAGGTCAGCCATCTCTGACTCATTGTAAACAAACTAGCCAATGGACAAAAATTGGAACATGGAATGTTTGTGGTCTCACAAATAAAGAACCAGAAATAGTAGAATTCATGATGAAACATAAGATCGATATAATGGGAATATCAGATTGCAGGAAAAAAGGCAACATAACAAAAGAAATTCATAACAACTATGTCATATTTTGGAGCGGCGTTGAGAAAGAGCAGAGAGCGACTCACAGAGTCGGTTTTATTCTCCATCCGGATATCGCTAAACATGTAAAGAATATAGAATATGTATCAGAAGGGATTATAGTATTGCAACTCTACGGGAAAACAAGAAATACAAGCATTGTGCAGGTATACGCACCCACCAATGATGGTTACACCTTGGAAGAGAAAGATAACTTCTTTGACTCAGTGTCTGATGTCATCAGTCAGATACACGCAAATGATGATCTTATGGTTATAGGTGACCTAAATGGGCATATAGGGCAGAGGCAAACACCGTGGGAGGAATATATCGGGCCACACTCAGACAACAGCAAAGTCTGCAATTACAACGGGCAGCGTATTTTAGAACTTTGTGCAGAGCATGGCCTTTATGTCACCAATAGTTTCTATCAGCATCGACAAAGCCAAATAAACACCTGGTATAAATGGAGCAACCCAGACCAGGCCGCACAGTTGGACTATATACTAAATCGACAAAAGAGAAGAAGCTTAGTAAAAGACGCAAGAGTAATTCCTAACATCTCTTTAAATACAGACCATCGACCGCTGATCGTATATCTAAGCGAAGCAACAATTAACAAAAAACCAAAAACATCAGTACGTACCTCAATGATTGACATAAGACACCAAAGCAATCTAGACAACCAAGCAAAAGTACAGGCAGAAATGACGGTGAAGATGGCTGAGCTAATAACACCAAGTGACAATGTGGAAGCTGCGTGGCAAAAATTTAAGAACACTCTTCTGAACTGCCTAACAACACTCTGTGGTATTAGATACACAGGAGGAACGTTCAGGAAAAAAACAGCATGGTGGAATGATAACGTAAAACAAGCAGTGAAATGTAAAAAGGAGCAATACAAGAAATGGCTAAGATCCCGCTCAGATGACGATTATATCAAGTACAGAATTGCCAGGCGACAATCTGCAAGAGAAATTAAACAATCCAAGGAAACATCCTGGATCATGTATGGGGAAAATCTTACCAAAATCTGTGCTAAATCTAGTAGACAGTTTTACAAAACCATTGCAAAAATGAGAACTAGAGATGAACCATTCCAGCCATCTGAATATGTCAATGATAGTCAAGGCAAACCCATACATGAGGAGGGCAAGATCAGAGAAAGGTGGAAAGAATATTTTTCAGACTCTTCTGAATGTAACAGGAAATGAGGAAACAGTACCATTCACACCCAGATGTACAAACGAGGAACAGCCTACAATAATCGAACAAGAAGTCAGAGAAGCAATCAGATGCAGTCCCAAAAATAAGGCATCAGGTGTTGATGGAATATCAGCCGAGGCAATACAGGCTTGTGGAGAAATTGGAGTCACCTGGCTACTCCACATATTTAGGAAAGCCTGGAATGAAAGAACTGTACCAATAGACTGGCAAAGAGCCCTTATAGTCCCAATTTGGAAAAGAAAAGGCAATAAGCAAGATTGTAACAATTACAGAAGCATCTCCCTTCTAAGCCACGTAGGAAAAATGTTTGCCAAAATTCTGGAACAACGAATTAGATCCGTTGTAGAACCGATCGTGAGCCCATCACAGGTCGGATTTAAGAAAGGAAGAGGGTGTACTGACGCTATTTTTGCTTTAAGACAAGTTAGTGAAAAGACAATAGAACACAGACATCAAATGAACATCGCTTTCATAGATCAAGAAAAAGCTTTCGATAGAGTAAATAGAAATTTATTATGGAAAGTTCTTGAAAACTACGGTATAAATGGAACAATTTTAGATTGTGTTAGGGCTATTTATAGACAAAGTGAAAGCGCCATTAGAACAAGAGCTGGCATCACAGACTGGTTCCCAGTAACATCAGGAGTAAGACAAGGTTGTGTATTATCACCTTTACTTTTCATAATATTTATGGACAATATTATTAAAATAGACATAACACCAACAGATGTCGATAAACAGGAGGACTTCAATGAGCTGCTTTTTGCCGACGATCAATGCATATTTCACAGTGATAGTAAACAGCTGCAAGACCACATAAACCTACTACACGACAGTTGCATCAAGCATCATATGAAGATCAATACTGAAAAGACAGAAGTCATGAGCATAAGTAGAGAGCAACAGACCATCGACATAAAGATTCTAGATCACAGCCTAAAACAAGTGCAAGAATTTAAACACTTGGGAAGTATCTTTACATTCAATGGTAAAATAGACAGAGAGATTGAAGCAAGAATCCAACAAGCCAACAATGTCGCATACCAGCTTGCCCCAATTTTAAAACACCCTGCTGTCCCAGCTGAGATAAAAAGACAAATTATAAATACAATCTTTATACCGACATTAGGTTATCAATGCCAGACTTGGACATTAACAAAAGAACACGAGAGAAGACTAACCACCTGTGAAATGAGATGTTTGAGAATGGCTGCGAATAAAACCAGAAGAGATCGAGTGAGAAACGATGTGATTACAAGAACTATTGAAACCATACCCATCGTTAAATTTATTGAGAAGCAAAGAATGAAATGGTTTGGACACCTAATAAGAATGGAACCAACGATGCCAGCATCAAGAGCATACAACATGAAAATCGAAACACCAAGAGGCAGGGGAAGACCAAGAAGAAGATGGATTGAAGGAGTCACGGACAACTTGAGACTTCATAACATCACGGCATATGAAGCGACTGAGCGCGCCCTGGCTCGGTTGCCGATCATCTGATAGACTGCGACGCTTAACGGCACAAACAGATTTTGACAAAAGAAAGAAGAAGAAGAATTATTCACAATCCATTTGTGTTATGTTTCATTAGTCTTTGTTTAGTTTCCACCTTCTTCTTGACCTATGACCTGTGTAACTTACAACAATCTGCACTTACAACCACACACACGCACACACACACACACACACACACAAATATCAAATGAAGAAAAATATTTACATTGTTAGGGTCAAAATATTGTCATAAATGATGCAAAAGTGTGCATATTATGTATTTTTCACATTGTGTAGTACAGTTATTATACAAAACACAGATTGAATTTGTGTGGTTTACATACAGTTTATATAACCCATTTAAATTAAAGTAGTGTTAGAAAATTCAAATTCGGCTTACGACCAGTTTGGTATGTGACCTGTTAGTCAGAAGGGATCTCTGTTTTAAGTCTAGGAGACCCTGTACGGCATATAACAGACACTGCAGTATTTTATAAGACTCACATTTTAATTCCCAGGTATCAGAGGTCTCTCACTGCTTCAGAGGATGAGGTAAAGCACACAGGGCCATTTTTCTCTGTTGACATTGAGCTAAATATTCCCAATGTGGTAAGTGATGACTGATAATGTCAGCAGTAGAGGAATTACATTTGGGAAAAGGGACGTCACTAGTAGGGGTGGG